TTGCACATCTGGAATCTACTGAATATTTACTCTTTCCTTTGAAAAATATAGTATTTATTTAAAGTTGAGAAAAGAATGCTCTTGGACTATATGCAAAATCAATATTACTGTCCCAATGTGTTAATGTTGCTTTGGAGGAGGGTGAAGGCACTCGCAGTGAGATAGAAATCACCTGCTTGAATGATACACATGGGTAAAAACTGTTGGACTTCCTCATCCCTGTCTGTTGGAGATTGTGGGAATTGGAGTCCAGCCCATCTGGATAACAGCAAGGCCATGATTGAGTTGTGGTATGCAAGCTCACTGTGAAAACTTTGAAATATAAGAAAGCACCATTTAAGTTAAAATATTACTGTCGGACCCGCTGGTTGTTTTCTGGAACATGCAAACTCTGACTCATGTGAAGACACACAGTTTTGTAAGGAAGTGTATGCACATCATGTTCCTGCAGTTTTTGAAAGCTTGTGTGGTATAGTGTGAGATGTCCTGGAAAAGGCAGGCGGGGGTGCGGGTTCAACCCTCTTGGCTGTGAAGCTTGGAGGCTGTGTGTGTGTGTTCACAGAAAGCTCACAGGATTGCTAGGGTATTGTACATGTATGTATGTGTTTACAGAAAACAATGTATGCTGTCTGGACATTTTGAAGGAAATGGAATAAAACACAATCGTGTTCCAGTGTGTGTGTGTAAGTTCCCTTGGCAGTCCCGAAGTTTAATGGGACTCTTTTTGGAGGAAATATTTAAAGCCTCTTTATACTGAAGGAGATCATTGGTCTGTGCAGCAGCTTGGCCAATAAGGCTCAACAGTGGCTCTTCCCTCCTCTGGCTGCCTTGATATTTCAAAGAAAGAGCTTTATTCCATTTGTATCCTATTCTGCTCTGCTCCGAGGGAGCTGATGAGGTCCCCATGTGCTTAGCCTTGGCAGTGCTGTGCAACACCAGGATCTCCCAACATGTGCACCCAGCCTTTACGTGAGACTCTTTTGAGCAGCTGGATGAGGGAACGAACCTTGGACTTGATAGCAAAGCAGGCGTTGCTGGAACTCCGCTCCTCAAATGGGAAAAGCGATTGCAGAGGTTAGGACATGAAGCACTAACTGTAGCTCCCTGGCTGTTTTGCTACCCTGGGCTAGCCTAAACCCATAAATCTGTCGTTTCTTGGCATGTTACCATTTAAGCCTGAATCATTGAGTCCTGAGTGTCACCCTTGATATTTACAAAAGTTTCTGCAAATGACTGTTCCATTCAGACTGTGAAGGATTACTGGGAATGATCTGAGAATGATCTGAGATTTTTCTCATGTCTTGCTATTGCTGTTTCTCACACTACATATTTCACACTTGATATCAGTAAAAGACATGCTGGTTGGCATCTTTCACAGGTAGAAATCCAGCACAAATACCTCCCCCTTTTTTGCATGAATGCTGAATAGAGTCTGACTTGAAAGATGCTTGAATCTAATGGAAATGTAGGCTAAATATAATCAAACCTAAACTTCTGAACCCATCAAATACATTTTATTGTGTAACAATATATTCATATACTGCTTTATGTTGCCAAAAAATAGTGTTTGCTTAATTTAAAAAGGTAATAGAGTCCCAGGCAGTCATTGCCAAGGGTTCATGTATTCTAATTTTCATACATCTCCAATAATATAGTTGTTTCAGGGTTCCTAATGTCACAGAAGAACTCCTTTTTTTCTCCCTTCTTAATTAGCAGTGTATTTAAATTCCATCAAAGATTTTATTAGAATTTTGCATTTAGTGGTTCATTCTTTGTACTTGGTTTTTTAAATAAATAGGTTTTTTAAAAGCAGTAGTTACTCATTGTTAGCTGAATTGCCCCCACTGAACAAGAAGACACAGTTTTTTGGTTCTTTTACAACATGTAGACTGAGGAGGCTCTTGATAGTTTGCTTAAGAATCCATTTATTTTGCAGCCTTGCAATGAGGGAAGCCATCTCTTGAAATAATCTGGTTTCCCCACAGAGATGCTCTGCTAGGGAACAGCCTAAGTGAATTAATTAGCCTTTGATTGTGTTCTGAAGGTCAGTAATGACTTGTCTCTGGCAGCTAGCTGGAGGTGATGCCAAGGGATCATATGCCCCTCCAGATGCTCAGTACTTGAGATTGTTCCTCAAGAGCACCTCAGGATGATGGCAGATTCAACGGTATGTTGAGCGGGGGGACCCCACCTACTCTGCCAGGACCAACCATCCGAGAGAGCATCAGTCTAGGTGCCAAATAACAATTCTGGCTCTTATTTGGAGGAAGCTGGTCTAAGCAGGTGCATCTTTCCAGATTGGGCACTTTTATTTCCTGTGCTGAGAGATGATTCTGAGTCCAAGGTACCAAGGTTCTCTTCCAGTGTAGGTGATAACCTTCATAAAGCAAAACAAGTGCTGCAACCCATGTATATAAAATATCAATTGGCTTATTTATATGAGTTCTGCTTGAAAAAAAGTTGCTTTTGATAAATTTCCATAAGATAACAGTATTTCCAAAGTATTTCCGAAGTAAGAAGCAGAGAATCATAGAATAGCAGGGTTGGGAGGGGCCAAAAAGGCCATTGGGTCTGACCCCCTACTGGTACAGGTCTCCAATATACACCATCCCACTCAATGAAGTATAACCTCTTGCTTTTAGTAGATGTGCACACACTATAACCTGTTAGAAGAGGCATCTCATCTGTGGTTTTTATAAGCACTTAAAAATTAAATCTACTGCCTGATTTAATTGGTGGCAAATTTTACTCTGTTTGTTAAAGGCTTTTCTGTTGATTAACCCATAAATCAGGGTAATCTTGCAGCACTAATAAATATGGCTACAGCCCATTAGATCTGGGGAGTGGAGAAGGAGCATATGTTGACTCGGATGCTGGCGGTCTTGGGTGTGGGGAGCAGATGACTCACATGCAAAGGGAGGACTTGGGCCAGGTAGGCCTGAGCTTAATTTAGAAAGATCAAGAAGGATAAGCAGCTCCTATCTTTAATCCTTGGTTAAATATTGACATAGCTATGCTGAACTGTAAGGGAGGAGCCTCACTGTCCTCTCTAACTTAAGATTTCCACAGGCGCTCAGGGGCGTGGGGATGCCAAGGTTAAAGCCTCTGTTAGTAACTTCTCACGACTTCTCAGGAAAAGATTCTTTGGGTAGTTTGGCCTTTCATGTGTATTTGAAGGAGGTGTCATTAAAAATCAAGAGGAAATGATGAGAGCTTCCTCTGGCAGAGAGAAAACTACACTGACTAGAAAAGCCTGTCCCAGGTGGCCGGACATAAAAGGTGGAAAATCACTGATAGGAATCATCATGTGATTTTTAAGTTGCCAAGGAGAACGAGGGGGTGGAAACACTGCACTGTGAAGGTGCAGAGAATTGTTCCATTGGCACCAGTCAGTATAAATGAGGCAAGATGGAGGGGAGGGAGTTAGATACTTGCCTCACAGCTCAGTTCTTAAGCGCATCCAGCAGTTCTCACCTTGCACTGCATGTGTGCATGTGTGAGCCTGGCTCATGAGTGCGTCCCACAGGCTGGCAACTTGTAGGCCTACACATCCGGAGGACCACAACTCCTAAGAGCCCTGGCCTTTATAGCCAAAGGCAAGGGATGATGGGAGTTGTGGGCCAGAGCATTAAGAAGACTCTTTACGTTTTCTGCTCCTGCTTTAAATCCGTAAGATTAGTAATCTGCTCTTCTGTGTTTTCCCTGGGTGATTCCAACATTCGTCACAAGAAGCATGCATTCTAAGCATCCCCCCACCCCCCACTAGCAGACTCAATGCAGCTCTCTCTGCTGCTATACCTAAATGTATTCTTTTATTATCCTTAGGACTGAACTAGCTGTTCAGGAAACAGGGTAGGGAACCCCAGGCCAACACCAAACAGTTGAAAAAGCAGCAAGGGGGAGGGTATGCTTTTGAGGGGGGGAGCAGTGACTGGATTAGCTTGACCCTTCCCTGCCTGCCAGGTCTTCTCTGCACTGCTTCCCCACTTGGAGTTTGCAGATTCATTAATGTTGATCTGTTTTGATGGTCAGCATTAAGTTCCTCCACTCTGGTTTTGCCCCCCCCCCCCCACACACACAACTCCCAAATCATACCCATTGCTTACTGCTTTTCATCTGTTTTGCAGGAACCTGGGTCTGCTTTCCAGTTCTGGGTCTGTCCCTGTATCCTGCAGAATGTTTTATTTTTAATCAATGTGTATCTTACCTCTTTCCATCATTCTTTAGGTCATACTTGGCAATATGAGCATTGAGTAGCAATGCATTTCAAAGCAGGCCTGTGCCTGGACTTGGGAAACTCAAGTACAAATTATTGTTAGATTATTGTTATTCTTTTTAAAATGTTCACAGCAATAACTCCAGCTTCCCAAGAAAGTGCTGTCTCATTTTCAAGTGTTTGTGCTTGTTTTGTGGGTATTCCAAGCTGCTGATGTGAAAATGTGCAGTTCTGGTTGGCCTGTGCTAATACTGTCTGCGTGTTTAATCTGGCTTCTTTGGATTGTGGCCCAGACTTACTAATTGACCATAAGCTGCATGGGAGGAGGGACTCAACTCAGCCAGTGCTTCCAGGAGCTGGCTGAGTACTTTCCATGGAGAGAGTGGTTCAGGAAAAATGGCTTGGTGTACTACCAGTGATGTTATGCGAGGGGCTTTGGGACAGAGGCCTATGCCCAGGCATCACCCAGTCTTCTGGGCTTGGCCTGGGGGCCAGTCCAGCCCTTAGGTCAGAAGAGGTTGCCATGTCAGACTGGGCCTGGGTTCCAACTTTCCAGTCAGCCACGAAGCTGACTGGGTAAAATGGGGTGAGTTAATCTCCCTCAGCTCCATAGGTCAGAAAATTGGCATGAGAATAAAAAGACTGGGAGAAAACAATGCATGTCACTGAGCTCCTTGGAGCAAGGCAGCGATATCAATTGCTCGATCACACATCCACTTGCATGCACATTGTAAACTGAACTTCTCCCATTCCTTTCCTTTTTTTTTTTTTTTTTTGGTGGTAGGGTGTTGGCGTGTCTGTTCATGGCCATTTCAGAGTTGCTACAGAGAAGACTCTTTTTGCTATGCCTGAGACAGCAATAGGTAAAGCACTGAAACTACATTTTCTATTGCATTATGGTAAGATTTTTCATAGAGAAGCAGTGTGGTATAGTGGCTAGAGCAGAGATGGGGGCCTCAAGCTCATGAGCCAGATCCAACTCACAAAAGTTCCCCATCCAGACCATGGAGGTTTCTGAAGTCTATCACTTGAAGGCTGGGGGAAGAAGAATCCCTACTGTTCTTTTCTGAGCAGAAAACAACAGAAATTTCCCATAGCAATGCAACTCAGTGCTTCAATTTGTAGGGGGCGTGGAGCATTATGTACTTGGCCAGTCCTGCATCCTCCCCAGCAGGAGGAAGGTGAGGGCAGGCAACAGCACTCTGTCCGAGGCCCTTGGCTGGAGGACACCCAGCTGGTGCTTTCAGCAGGGGCAAGATGACGCCCAGGGGATGGCTCTGCCCCAGTGTTCCCCAGCCAAGCAAGCTCGATAGGGAGCGATCCTCTCCCTGCCTCAGCAGAGTTCCCTGCCAGTCAGCTCGGTGTTGGCCTTGGCTGTGGAGCTTGAGTTCAGCCATGAGTGACCTTGGCACAGTGGGGCATGTTGAGGATAACCTACCAGAAAGGGCAGTTGTGAGGGAAGATGGAACAGAGTGCGAATAACCGCATGTTGACTTAGGGCCTAACTTCTTGTGAGGAGACTGTAGTTGTGGAAGGGAAAGAATCAGTTCTTACTGACTACCCTACAGCCTACTGTGACAGAGCAGCACTGGAGACCATGATGTGGGGGATACTAGGAGAAGGTAGAAATCAGCAACAGTTACCTCCCTTTCTCCCCACCATTTCTGCCAGCCGGAGGTTCAGCTAGATTGATGTCCCTTTTATGGAATCTGTTCCCTATAAATGGAAGGGAAACGTAGGATTCATGTCAATATATTTGGAAGAAGAGTAGGCAGAGTGATGAAACACTACAGGGCAGTACCTGTGAAAGGTTCAGGTATGCAAAGACTTTAAAAATATAGAGCTTTTGCCTCAAAGCCTCCTTTGCAAGTGTCCACTTCCAGGATCTGTGCCTGTGTTGCAGTGCTTGCCTCAAGCACTGAAGAAACAGCTGTAGGGATTGGAAGAGCGAGGTCCCACTGCCTTCTGTCAGGGTTCTCTACAGGCCTCGTGATTTGCTTGCTGAAGGCCAAGCTGGACAAGATGCTGTTTGTGTGTCTCACCTTGCCAGGGTGCTTAGAATCCATGTGGTGGATGGCCAAGTCTGATCCAGTTGGGGACCCTGCACCAGTGGGCATGTGGGGTATGCTTGTGTGCTTTAACCCTCTGATTACTGCTGTGCCCTCTCAGAGGCCTTATTCCTGCTCTTGTATTGTAAGAAAAGAGTTCTATGACACACATGCAAGTCTTTCTTCCAATGCAGATAGGAAGAAAAACTTTAGACCAACGGCCTGATATAGGTCAGGCATGCAGCAGGGAGCAAAAAGGGTTAGATTCCCTTTACCTCTTATGCCAGGGCCCCAGTATACTACTTAGCTGGTTGTGACCTATTGATTTTCCTAGGTTTACACTTAAGTATGACTAAGTCTGGCTCTAACCCATTGTGTATGGCATTGAATTTGGCCCTGAGACACTCATGTACAAATCAAAAGCTATTTAAAAGTTGAAAATGATGGTCTGCAACATTTCCTCATGGTTTTGTTATCAGAGAACTTCCTCCAATAAAGGCTCCACATACCTGCACTAGATAAGCATTACTTTCAACCCTAATATTGTGGAAGGGACAAAGTACAGCTTATAAAAGGTCATAATAGTAGATGAACATTGGGGAACATTAGGAATATTTCATTTCATCTGCAACAAGCATCATTTCTGCTCCTTCTATGAATATGTGTACATTTATAATGATGCACGTAAGCTGTTCATGCTAAGGGTATAAACAAAATCAAATATTGCTTTTTGCATAATAACTGTGGCCATTAAAATCAAGTATAATGTCAGATTGTGCAAGAAGTATTTTTTCAGTGTTGCTAAGTCAGATGAGAAAAGCAAGCAGAGGTTTTAATTTCAGGTAAAAAGGGATACCCAGAAGATTTAGAGCAAAAAGACAGAGGACAGAAAGTTTTGATTAAAGGAATTACTGCCTTGCTTTCTTTTTTTCCTCTTTTGATTATAGGACTCTTTCCTGATGTGGGCGGAGGCTTCTTCCTGCCCAGGCTTCCAGGGAAGCTGGGATATTTTCTTGCCCTGACAGGATATAGGTTGAAAGGAAGAGATGTATACAAAGCAGGAATTGCCACTCACTTCATAGAAGCAGAGAAGGTAAATCTGCCAGAGCAAGTAACTGGCCTAGCTTTATACTCCAGTGATCATGGGGCCTTGTTTGGGGTTGTTGGGGATGGGTTTTCGCAGGTTCCATTTGCACTTTCTGATAAAGAGAAAAACTCTTGGGTTTGAGTGTTATGGCAGAAGGAGAAAGTGTCTGCCTCCCTCCTTTCCCCGCACCATGCTTTATTTTAAACAGCTCTAACATGTCTGCCCATACTCACCTTTTTTCTAAGCTGAACAGTCCTGGTTGTCATGGTTGCTCCTCACAGGGGAGCTGCTCCAGCCCCCTGATCATTTTTGTTGCCTTTTTCTGTACTCCAGTTACCACATGGTCAGAATTTCACATCCCACTTCAGGTGGAAGAAAGCTGTCTTCCTCTGACCTAATTTGTTTAACATTTCTGTTTGTTCCCCCATCCACTGCCCTTCTATCACTTAGCCTGCTGTACAGCTCCAGAGAACTTGAAAATTTGCACCATCTTTTGTGGAGTTTTGGTTGATCCTAATAAAACTAGTGCCTAACTGTGGGCTTCATGAGACATGAAATTGTAGCCTCACCCTGGGAAGTAATGCTGCTGGCAGTTGGTTTTACAGCTCTTTGGCCATTCTTCTTTGCAGGTGGCTGTCCTAGAAAAAGATTTGACGGAATTGAAGTCACCAACAAAGGAAAATGTCGCAGATATCCTGGACTACTATCATAAGCAGGTACATGCATAAGCTGACCGTGAGAGCAGACTTTATAATGGAGGACCTTTTATAGAGCAAGCTGAGTCTCTGTAAATAAAGCCTTGTCCACACTGCCAGTGTTGGCTTTGTGGATTGTAAGCTAGGCCAACCAGTCCTTCTTGCAGTGAGAATGAACATGCACAGATACATAATGTGAGTTTCTTGTCTATGAATATATTATAAAATATTTAGGATACAATAATATTCAGGCTTTAATTTTTTTTAAACAAAATCCATATATAACATTCATTTCTGATAGATTTATTGATTAGTAGGAATATGATGAAGCAGATTTAATCCTGAATTAATATTGATTGGAAAAGTCTATATCAGCAAAGACCAACAGAGCACATAATATTTTGGTATCATAAGGCTGTTCAAATAATTATTTCTATCAATACAACAAGCTTTGCAGTACTTAAAGTTTTACCTGGGTTTTGTGAGCAAGTACATCAGAATTGCAATGTTTTGGATTAAAAATTTGTGATGATTTTCTGCTTGATTTCAGCAGTAATATTAAATGCCACCCTGGTGTGCCTTTCAAAGCAAATCAGTCAAGTATTGGCACCAAATATTATTTACTATTTTGCTTTTTGGTGTTGCTTTCCATGTGGGACACTTAATGAGATTTGTGGCTTTTCTGTCATCAGTGGAAAAATACATATGGCTCAGTCTGATATACACTTACCTGGGAGAAAATCTCACTGAAGCCACTGGGGCTGCTCCTGAGGAGATGTGTCTAGGGTCGTGCTGTAAGATGCTGCCTTATGCTAAACATATGCAGTCTTTTGCATTTTGCACAATACTGCTTCAAGTGGACAAGAACGCTGGTTAATTCTTAGCTTGGTCTTGTTGGAAACTTTACTTGCTGGCAGAAATTGGAATCCATAAATGCTGTGTGTGTCTGTTTCACGCTTTGTCGGGAATAGCCACAGCTTTCTGTAGGTTTTCTGATGAGCTGTCAGCACAAATAATTGATAGAATGGATTTACGACCATGGCAGTAAATTTTCCAGCAAAGGAGGGGGAGAAGGCCCAGGGATGTTCAAGCTGACAGTAAATGGAATGGAAGCTGTGCCTGGGGAGCCACCAGAATACACACGCCACCCATTAGTTCCTGATTTGCAGCTTGATGCTGTTGTAATGGAAACATGTTTGTGGCTTAACCTCATAGCAGAGCCAGAAGGTTCAAGGCATTTGTCATTAGCCACAGTTCAAACGCTTCACATCATGCAAAGCCTCTCTGGAGGCAGGGAAAAGTCGATGCAGGCACCTGACATTCCTTTCCATTGAAACACACATAAATATAGTTGCTGTTCCACTAGGGTTTCCTAGAAGCAGATGGGACAGTTCATTTGCAGGGTAGCGGGATGCAAAGGAGGACCAGCAGCTGGCCCTTTTTGTAGTGAGAAGAGGGCATTTTCGCATGTGCAGCTTTTATCCCAAACAGGTGCAGCCCTTCTGTTGTTTGGAGCTCTTTTAGCCACTGTGAGCCATGCTGCCCTTGCCAAAATTCCTCCTCCTACAGAAGCTTTAAAGGGCAGACACCACAGCACACACATGTATCTTGTTCTGCTTTTCATAGCGCTCCTGGAGGTCTCCCATCCCAGGGACTGATCCAGCCCCACACTCACTCAGCGCGAGCAATGCTGCAGTCTCGTGCGCTCACTGACCCTGTACCGAACTGAGCTTTGCCACTTTGGACGTCTGGCTGTCCTATTCGAAAGGCCGTGTCTTCCAGTAGACAGGCTTTGTGTCTTCCTCCAGATGTAGGTATAATGTGTGGGAGGGTTTTTTAGAAGCATGAAGAACTCTGCTCAGAGTTCATCCGTTTTAAAACTGGAGTCCACGGGTGGATTCAGCAGCATGGCATCTGCCACTAAAGTAGTTTATTTGGCTCTCCCCTCTGGAGGGTTGGGGAACTCTCTGAAGCACATTCAGGAGGTGCATGGCGGGGGTTCCATTGTACCAAAGGAAGTTCAAGCATTGATTGCAGGCTTAGTCTCAAAGAGAGAGACGGGGTTGTCCAAGTTCCCTGCAGCAGGGGCAAGGGCAAACCCTTCCCTTGCATTCGCCTCAGTCCAAGCCACGGGGCTCTCAGACCTTAGGGGACATACTGGAGGTTTAGGGGATAGGGGTTCAGCTTCACCCATCCAATTCACAAGCCGCATGCATGAAATAATAATCCAGTAGAAGACTCTGGATTGAGTACAAGGCTTTCTTAGAAGAAATCAATTTAAAGAATAGGTAAACATTCAGTTTATTTACATAGGGAAAGGGAGAATGGGGTAAAAAGGCATACAAGAATTAGAGCTACCTTTGGACACAATACTTAAGATGTGCCCTATATGTTAGTTACCTAAGAATAGGTAGGGCCCAAAACAGGATCCAAAGACTCACAAGCCCAAAAGCAAGTTGACCAATGTAGATGAAGATAAAGGATTCATTCCATGCCCCTCTGTTTCTGTGCAAGCCCCTGGGAAGGCCAGACAGATCTTTGCAGGCACAAACAGGCCAGCTGGCACAGTGTTCCCAAGCCCTATAGGGTGGGTGAAAGTGTCCAATGAAGACTATTCAGTTCAATTAACTGAGGCTAATTCTGCCAACAAAAACCAAACTCACCTTGTGATAATAAACATACAAGTCGTTACATCTTTCTGTGCTGTGCCACCTGGCCAAATGGCTGAAGCACAGAGGAGGAGGAGGAGGAGAGGGAGGAATTCTTGACATCTTGAATTATTTTAGAAAACCAGCTAGGGTAATGAGCCATGTGAGTGGGTGGGCACTACTGATGATGCAACACTTATGCAGTCCAGGATATCAGAAATGTGGCTGGGGGACCCATGCAGAATTGCAATTGAAGTATAATACAGTGGTACCTTGGCTCATGAACTTAATCCGTTCCACAACTCTGGTTGTGACCCAAATTGGTTGTGACTCAAGCCAAATTTCCCCATAAGATTCAATGTAAATAAGGTTAATCCATTCTGGCCCCTCCGAATGTGGTTGTGAGCCAGTTTTTGGTCACGAGCCAAGTCAAATTTCCCCATAAGGTTCAATGTAAATAAGGTTAATGCATTCTGTGACTACTTTTTTTATCAGAAAAATTTGAAACAAAGTGACAACAAAGTACAGTACAGTACAGTGGAGAACACTAACCTAGGTGAGGGGGAGGTTATTGTTTGGAGGGAGAGTCCCCCTCCATAAGGACATTGGGGAGATCTCTTTCAGGGGTTTCCTCTCCTCTTTGTCTCTTAGCTGCAGGGTCAATTTTGGTGAAAAATCTGTCTGCAGTCACTTGTTTTTTCTGGCGCTGCATAACCCTCCGGAAATGAGAGTCCTCGTTATCGTTCATCAGATTCAACACTCTGTTCATTACAGTTATGTTGGGGTGGTGCTTCTCAAAGAAATCCTGGCACTCATTCCATTTTCTCATAATGGATTGTATCACATCACTGCTAACCTCCTCCCTGTCTTCCTCAGTGGAATCCTCCTCAGCAAGTGCCTTCTGCTGCTCACTCTGGAGTTCAGCAAGTTCTTCTGTCGTCAGCTCCTCTATGTCTTCCCTGCACGAATGCTACTGAGATCGTGGCCATCTCCCCGCTTGGGGTGGGGGGGTGGAGAGATGGCTGTGATCGTGCTGGTTGGGGGTGGGGAGATGGCCGAGATTGCGCCCGTTTTTCATGCAGGAGCACGCCTGTGATCACATGTCTTCCTGCAGGAACGCAACTGCGATCGCGGCCATCTCCCTACTTGGGGGCGTGGGGAGATGGCCGCGATCTTGGTTGCCACCCAGTTTTTGTTCGTGACCCAATTTGGTTGTGAACCAGGGCGTTTGTGAGCTGAGGCACCACTGTATATTGAAGCAACAACAGAAGTAAAAAGACTTCGAATAGGTGCAATAGTGTTAAAAAAAATAACTTGAGGATTGAGTTGAGAATAATAATTTAATTTTTGTTTTTTAAAATACAAAAATGAAGTAACTGCTTTTTGATTATATTTAATAGTTATGGTATGGAAATGAAATTTATTTTTTATTTTTTATTTTATAAAAGTGCAAACTTGATCAAGAGAAAGAGTTCGTACTTGGTGAACACATGGACAAGATTAACAGGTACTTGTCAGTTCTGTATGCTTCGTAACCAGAAATTGACTGTGGGAAAGTTCAGTAAACCTTCTATTGTGATACTTTAAGGTGCCTTCAAAAATTATTCACCTGATAGTCCTGCTTTGCTTCAGAAGTATCTAAATCACTGTGGCTTCACTCTGGAGCCAGATTCCTTCTGGTGACAACCAACCCATTTCTTCTAAATACGGGCCCAAAAGAGATGGATTAGTTGCTATCAGAAGAGATTTGGCTACCAGGGCTGTTCTTCAGAAAGCAAAACGGTTGCGTATGCTGATCCTTGCCCTCGGTTACTACCATATCCTCTGATGTGGAGGCAAGTTGGGGAGGGGGGGGGGCTAAGGTGAGAGGCTGTGGGCAAAGGAGATAAGTTGGTCCCCCACCCCCCGACAGGCACTCTACACCGCATATGCCCCTCAACACACACTTTGTGTATGATTGAGGCAGCTCTTCCTAGCCCCTTTGACTGAGGTCTACATTCAAAGACTTTAATTTTATCGTTGTATCTTTTTCACTAAATGCTCTACAATAGGCAAAACTTGGGAGCAGAATCTTGGAGAGAATTGCTTAAATTGCACTGGTTTGCTAAAAAAAAAAAAATGGGCAAATTACTGGAGCTTGCAGTGCTTAGTAGATAGAAATTGCCATCTGCCATAGTAGCTGCCATTGTTTCCTTAAATAATAATTGATGTGTATAAAACCTTGAATGCCTTTGAGGGTTAAAATGATAAATATCTGATAATCACTTTGGTCTCATGCAGTGATACTCCAGTAATCAGTAGTAAAACTTTATCTGCCAACAAATGCTATTTCCTATATAAGTGGAGAATTTTGCAATATGATTGAGATATGGTGGTTCCTTTGGCAGAGATAGTGGCACAGACTTTTAAGGACTGTGGTTGAACACTTGTGAAACTCTTACAACTTGGAAAATCTCTCAAGGAATTTTCAAAAGCTTTTGCCTGATGTATTAAACTCGGTACAGTGCACATGTACGCTGCATCCTTAGAGCATGTGTCCCAATACATCCTTGTCTTTCAGTATAATAAAGTTGTATGTAAGCTGGGTTGCCAAAACTTAGGGCCATAAACATTTTTAAAGTCACCTTTCTCAAACATGGCTCCTTTTGACTGATGTATAGACATTTCCTGTTTTTAGTCTGTTTGCAGCAGATAGCATGGAAGAAATCGTTCAAAAATTGAGCAAGGATGGCTCTCCTTTTGCACTTGATCAACTAAAGGTAATTTGTACTGGATGTTTTTGATATTTTAGGGAAGCACATCAGGGGCCATTTTGAGGCCTGCCATACTAATATGAAGCGAGCAAGTGTCATCGGGCAAATTACTGTATCCCCAGCTATTTCCTCCTTTATAAGAAAATGAGAATAATGGCAGCTTACCCAGCAACTGTATAGGAAAGTGCAGGGAGCACTCGTTTTCGGCAGATCCAACAGGAACTCAAAACGTTTCTTCTTTCATTAGACCCTGGATAACTGCAACTATCCTGCAGGGGCATCTGGGTTATTCCAACTTCATAGAAACCGTACAACCAGCGCTGCATACCCAAGCCTTAAATTTGCATTTCTCCTACAGCCCCACCACCCCTTGCCGGAGGCTCCCCCATCTCTCTGAAGCAGATTCTAGCATAGGCTTAGAAAGCTGCAGAAGGATGTGGTGGCCGGGGGGGGGGGGATCCTTTTAAGAAATGCCTTTTCCCTGTATTCTACTAATGGAAATCACAGCAGGGTCACATGTTCTGTGAATGGGAGGGCAGCAATGGGTATAACTCCTGACTTTTTAATATTTCAGCTCTAAGGGCTTTTTAAAAAACCTGCTGTGAGAGTTGCAATAGTTAAGATCACAGTGGTTAATTTTTATATTTTATCAGCTTCAACCAGTAGACGCTGTACATAAAATCATACAGGAAGTGCACATTTAGCTGAAAATGTGTTGAACAATTGATGTTTGTCAGAGATTTAATTGAATGAACATGTTCATTGCAATCTGGATCCTGAATCAAGGACTTTTGAATGTAGCTGAAGAGCTAAAAATCTGAAAATAAACACAAGTGAGATCCGTTTAGAGGCCCCATGGACTTGTGCATCCTCAACTGAAAGAACAGCGGTGCATTTTCTTAAAGCTCTACCACATTTCAATAAATGTCTTTTTATTGACCATATGTATTCAAATATGCTGCTTTATAAGTACCTGCAACACTGGATGTTTATTTAACATCAAGAGACATGTGTGATCCCCTGAGGTGTGGAAATGTTTTGTCTGAAATCAGTAGTTTAATTAGAGGCAAAAGCACTTTGGGGTAAGACTTGATGCTGCTAACTATGAATTCTCATAGCTGTCAGAACTAACTTTGTTTGCAGCTCATTTAGCTGTGCTTATGTAAAGCACAGCTAAATGGTATTTTTGATGGGTGAAATGACTGAAGATTGAGCCTCATTTCCACCCCATCCTATATCAATGTGTGCATTGTTCCACATTTCTCCAAGAAAAGCCAGTTGCATATTGACCAGGCAAAAGCGAGAACATGCTTATTGCTGACCATTAATACAATCTGGTTAAGGAGACTTGCCCACACATCACTGACTGACTGATCAGGACTTGTGGATGTGTACAGAAATGTGCACCCATGTATAGATGGAACCTATTTGTATTTATATAGTTATTTATTTATTTTAAATAGGTTAGTTTTATGCTCAGTTGTGGAATAGTTAATTTATTTTATTTAGGATTTGAAATAATGTTGTAAGCCATCCAGAGACGGCAGTGATGGACAGCCTACAAATTTTCTAAATAAATAAATAAAATTTCCTATGTTGCAACTGGTCACATGTAAGATACTTTTTAAAATAATGATTGGTGTTGGGAGGGTATAATTAATTTAAAAACTAGACATAGTTGAACATCCTTGAAATTATTCTAAAATAAGAGCTCTCATTTTATGTTGAACATTCGTGGGAAGAACTTATATGCAAAATCTGTTAAGTATTTGGAATGAAGAGGCTTCAGACTGGGCTTTTGAACCCTTTTGCATTTTGACAGCAGCATGGCTGCCAGGGTTTTTGTGCTGCTCGCAAAAATACCCATTCCTAGAATTGGTGAGACTGAAAAAAGTAAAAAAAGGTGATTTGGCCAAGAATTGAAATACAGTGCAGAAGTGCGATCTAAGCCTGCAAAGCCAAATTATGTAGGTGCCACTACAAAACACAGCAAATCTCCCATTTCACAGAAGGCCAACTAGTGATATTTAGAGAAATACAAAACTCACAGGCAAAATAGCATACTTAAAAAAGGCAAAGCGTATGGCACTCCCACTCCGCCTTGTCTCATAGGACAGTCCCTCCTAAGCCAGCTTTCTTTTTTTCTTTTTCTGGGCCTGCTGGCCTGAAGCCAATGACCACATTGATTTTCTAAGAAAGAATGGTGCATCTGTTTTGCAGCATGCCAAACGCACAATTAAAGTAATCCTTTGATTAAAGCATCTTTAAAAATAAAAATCAGAAGTGGCAGGAGAGGTGACTGCAGCACATTGGTGTCCAGGAGCAGCATGTTAGAAACTCTAGGCTTAAAGTGTCAAACATTCACATGGTTTTACTGAGTGAACAATAAGCATACATTTTCAGCATCTGAGCTAGCTTTAAACATACAGTTGTTGAGGACTTGGTTGTTTATCTTTCTAGCTGTACAGAATGTCACAAAATTAACCATTTGGACCTGTGACTAAGTCTGGATCCAAACCATTTTGTTTTGAATTATTTTTTTAAAATAATGAATAATTAAAACCTTATATTGGGCAATTCCATTAAAACACCTAATATAATTGCCAGTAAAAATCCTCTCACTCAAAAAATAATGGGCAACCACAAAGTAATGGGCAACCACAAAGTAACTCATCAAGGGTCTTACTCAGACTTTCCAAAGGCCCTGTGAATTTAAAATACAAACCTAAAGAACTTGTGGAACAGTTGGAAGAAGAGCAAGGATGAGGCTGTCTGGAAGCATATAGCCTTGCTCTGTCCCATTTTCTACAAAATGTCACCTTTGGTTGGGTACAGGCAATTATTTGTTCAGTAGTGGACATGTTTTAAACCTCCTGTGGGTTTTAGTCCAACCTGGTGCTCTGTCCTAATACTTGGCTTTTACTGTTGTACCCCACCATAGGTTTGAGCAAACCTTCCAGCAACATGGTTGGATTCCCTTGTGTAGTTTTAAGTGGCTATGCAGTGAACTTATAAGCAGACAGATAAACTGGAACGAGGCTTCCCAGTATGCAGGCCTTTTCATTTATAGCTCCTCGGCTGCTCTTAATATTAATTGTCAGCTCTGAGTTGAATTCAGGTGTCTGCCTCCCCACACTCCCAAAAAAAGCAATTGTAAACATTTTGGATTGGATTATTTTACAAGGCTGAGTTTTTGACCTCGGGCATAGACACATGTTTCTGGATGGAAACCAGCAAGTGTCATTAGTGAAAAAGGTTTGCAAGGATTTGCTAACTTGCGGATTTTCATGTTTGCCCTAAATTACATTTCCTCACTGTGACATTTACTTGTCCCTGAGTGATCGCTTCATGTTAGTGCTCTGTTATTAACTGTCACTTTGCACAAGGAATTCTTCCTGGCCTTCATCTTTAAATTAATACAATGCTGTAAACAGGAGAAATGGATGACATCAAGCTGGTGTCTCCAGGCTCCCTTAATCTAGGGCAACTTCAGTTTCAGTCATCCCCTTAATGCACAGCCGTTCATCTGTCCTTAATCCTGATGCCTCTTTCCTTGATGAGAAGGGAGGTGGGAAATGCAGTTTCCTGAAGCACTAAGCTTTATGATCAGATGCTTCTTGTCTGCCTGGAGAACTGATAACATAGAGAATTTTCTGAGGGAGTTGCTTGGTTTGTGTTGAGCTTTTGCCTACCTCTAGAATGTTGCATTTTGCCAGAATTCAAACCAGCTGGCAGTAACTGGGAAGTATCTCCAAGCAGGGCTGCAGCGAGCAAGCTCATTTCACTTGAAAGACCCATTTCCTTGCTAGCATCTCATTTTTTCCTTCTACTTGACCAATTTCTCCTCCATCCTTGCTCAGTTTACTGTTTCTGATTGTCATAATGTACTTACCATTAGAAAAGATCAGTGATTCACTCCTGCATGTTGCACACTGTATCCATACTCCTCTCTCATTCCTTTTTCAACATTTGTCTCCTCCACAGCTGCTATTGGTACCCCTACGCCTTTCAGTTTCCTTGAGATACCTCATACTGGTCACCAGTGCAGGAAGTTTTCAGACTTATTAGCCATCAGAGACTCCTGTGCAAGCCAAATACCATAGATTTAACTGGCCAGTATGTCTGGAACAGGAAAAGTCTCCCCGCTTAGTCTTCAGTCTGAAAAGGCTGGAGATGGACATCTGCCCTGTCTAACACTGATGAGTTGGAAACAGCTCTGTTAAATTTCAGAGTCAGTCGTCCCCTGCAAATGATCTTACTGTCCCAAGGGCAATCTGTGGATTAATGTATAGTGACTTCAACAGGGAAAATTATTATTTTTTAAATAAGTTTTATTGAAATCATAATCCAAGAAAGAGAGAGAGAGAGAGAGAGAGAGAGAGAGAGAGAGAGAGAGAGAGAGAGAGAGAGACAAAACTACAAACAACATCCATCATCAAACACATCAAGCCCGCTGGGTCAGCCCCCACACCCTTCTCTTTCCATTTATGATAACTTAAAAACATATTTAAATCTATGCGAAGTCCTGTTTCTCTAGTCAATAATAAAAAGAGTCCCATTCAACAGGGAAATTAGAGAGGCTGAAACTAGAACTGGGTGGGAAACCAGCAACTCACTGCCAAGGACCTTCTAGCCCTGAGGAACTTCAGAGGTGGGTTGCTTGCTTGTTCTCAAGCAGGTTTCTTCAGGGCATGTGGGAAGGGGCAGAGAATTCCTTTACTAGTTTTACACAGCACTTAACCCACACTCAAGGGTTGACTGTGGCTTGTGGTTGAACCGTGGGTGGTGCTGCAACTTGGGTTATCATGTTGCCTGAACCTAGCCAAGATAATCAACCATGGAAAAAACTTGCACTGGACAACCCAGCAAGAAAGCATGGGCTCACTTCACAGGTTGTTCATGGTTAAGAGGCCATGGCTTGCTAACACAGCTGGGTTCAGGCAGCACAGCAATCTATGTTTCAGCAATGCACACTCAACACACCTTGACTGTGAGTTACCTTGCTCTCTGAACCCAGTCTCTGCCTCAGGGTATTGGGTCGCTTCTTGTACTTACCTCTCCTCCTCAGGCAAGCATCACTGAGCCCTTGATTTATTTTATTTATTTGGGAAACTTGTATGCTGCCCCATTCGCATAAGCCTCGGGGCAGCTTCCAACAAATAAGTAACAATATAAAAATAGGATACATCCAGGCAATAAATAAAACCAATAAATAAATTAACAATTAATTAAAATACTGTTTAAATAAAAAGGTCTTGGCCTGGCGCCGAAAAACAAATAACGACAGCGCCAGGTGGACCTCTCTGATTTTTCTGGGCCCACATTTGGCGAACTTCAGCAGCATCTCTAAGACTCTCAGGCGAAGGCATGTGTGAAGTGTGTCTGTGCCGTATTCTCCACTGTATGCTAGTTTCTTCCATCCCATGCAGGCTCCGGGTTTCTGCTGAACTCCAGCAAAGTTATTCTGGCCAGGCTTATGGTAGCTTTGCAGATACCTCATATTACCTCTTGGTCCAGCAAACGTGCAGCAAGATGCAAGAAAAATATACAATTGGGCAGTTATGCTGTAAGCTGGTGGACAGTATCGGTACTATGTGATACCTGTTTTGAAAGACATGAACTGGTTGCCAGTTGCTTTCAGGGTATAATTCAAAGAGTTGGTCATAATCTTTAAAGCCCTTAGGGCTGGGCTCTCTGTCTTCCTATGAATCGGCCTGAGTATTACAGTGTACTGGGGAGGCCCTTTGGAAGGCCTCATTACCTGCAGAGGCCTATATTTTGCGTACATGTGAAAGGGATTTTCACCTCTGTTGATCCCATTCTACTAGCCTTTTAAAAAGATGTATAGATTCATCTTTTAGATTTAGCTTTTTAAAATTTAATTTCAGTGTTTTAATTATTTCAATATTTTATTGTTTTGAGGTATTGTTTTAAATGGTTTGCACTGCCAATAGGGTGGTATATGAGAATTTATATCATATATCTAGGAGTATGAATCACATATAATATATATATATCCAGAGAGTCATGCTTTGTAATTGACAGAAGTTAAGAGTTATTAAGCTAAAGCAGCTGAACATATAGAACAATCTGGGAATTCCTGGCTGGATATAAAATATGCCAGCAAACTAAGCCCTTACAGTGTAGCTTTCTCTACAACCTGGTTATAGAGGAAGGTAAAAGAAGTAGAATGTCTAAGAGAGGTCGAAGGCTGAGGCTATCAGCAACTTGTTTTTTCCATTTTTGAGGGCAGTGTTTATTCTTTCTTTCCCTTTGCTATTAAGCCATCTGGTAGCGATTCATGTCAACTAAAGTGAAGGCATAAAACTGTCCTGCTTATATTCACAGGATCTGCCCAGCAGCTAAGAGTTAGCAGACATAAGGCACCAGGCAAAACGGGTCACTGCTTTTAACAGCTGGCGTCTAGAAAGAGAGAGAGAGCACAAGATCTGAGTGACTGAGAGCCAGAAATGTTGCTTATATGGATGCTTAGAAATCTGCCATTTGCTGAATATCCCCATTGAAAACAGCAGTCTTGCCATCTGCCCACCTCCATGGTGCCAGTGCCATTCATACACCAGCCATGTCTTTCAGACTTCTTGTTTTTATGTTCAGGGGCAGGGGAGGGAAGCCTGTTTATTCTCTATATAGGAGTAGAGGACATTCCTGAAGCAGGAAATGAAATGTTGACTATATCTAAGGAAGTAGACTCCTCCTCCTACTTGGTTCCGATCTCAGATAAGAAACAGGTGTACACAGCAATCATAGAAAGCTAAGTGTCACGAATCAGACCAAAGGTCTAGCTAGTGCAGTATTTTGGCCACAGAGTTGCCAAGTACGTATGTCCCGAGTTCGACAGCCCCCTCCCACCAGTGTTCCTCAGCAGCTGACCTGCATAGGTGTACTACCTCTGATACTGCATGTAGCCAACAGGTCTGATGAAAGCATTATCTTCCATGATTTTGTCCAGTGTTTCAATTTGGTGACCATTAATAAATCATCTGGAAGTAAATTCCATATTTTAACTGTGTGAAGTTTGTTTTATTAGATTTATATAACAGCTTTTCCTTCTTTTAAGAACTCAAAGCAGCTCACACAATTACGTTACATTAAAGTAGCTCCTTGATCCAGTCTGAATCTCCCACCAGTCAGCTTCATAGGATGATCCCAGTATTACGGCAGAGGGAGAAAAATGTCTCCCTTTCCACATACTCTTCACCATGGATAATATGTATGCCTCTACGTATTATGTCTCCCCTTCTTCTTCTTTTCTCTGAGCTAAAGAGTCCCAGATGTTGTCATGTTTCCTCATCAGGAGCTGCGCCAGACTCCTGGTCAGTGTAATTGTTGCTATGCATTTTTTTCAGTGCTGCAGTGCCCTTTTAAAGTCTAATAGCCAGAACTGTGCACAGTAATCTAGTTTTCTTGACACCACAGGTTTGCATGAGGAAAGTACGATATTTGCAGCTTCACTTTTTATTCCTTTCTTAATGATGCCTCACATGGTATTTGCCCTTTCCAGAGCAATTGCACACTGGACTGACATTTCACTGAGTCGTCTACCAGAACCGCAAGATTCACCTATACCTGTAGTTGGGATTTTTTTTGCCCTAAACTGTGCCTCTGCATGGTCTTACATTAACCATTTGCATTTGCCATAGATGTCCATTCTGCCAATCAGGAGAGATCCTTTAGCTGAAAATGGTTGTCTAGAAGAAATGCAAGGTGCAGGACAGCAGAAATGGGCTTTGCTGCACCTTATACCTTGTGTTGTATGCATAAACCTCCATGTTTGGAGGGTGTAGGATCATGCCTTCCAAATTTTCCTTGCAAATGCAGTCCAATAGCATCCGGAGAGCCATCAGCTTGCTGGGATCTAGGCCTTAATACTAATGGAAACTTTTCTTCCTAGGGGATCACACCTCTGTAATTCTCTCACCTGTCCTGCAGCGTTTGATCAGAATGTATAGCCTATTTGAGGAGACATAAGATATTCTCAAAATTTTTGTCTAGAATCTGATTTCAGGATGCCGTGTGGCTGTGCAGCTCAAATGTTAGGCAAAGGCAGTAAAAGTCTCGCAGTGCAAACTTCACTTATGGAAAATGCTTCATACTACTTTTTTGAATGTAAATAATTTCTCCAGTGATTTAAATAGGGTTATTCAACAAAGGTTCAGATGTGGGCAACTTGGGGCTCTTCAAGTGTTTTGGCCTAACATTCCCATCTGACTTCACAACTGGCTGTGCTGGCTAGGACTGATGGGAGTTGTGGGCCAAAGGGTGGGTCAGCCCAATATATTTTTTTTCTAATACACAGCAGTGAGACTTAAACTGAAATGCTAATCCTAAAATAATGAATGGACAAAGTGAAGGAGGAGAGCTTTGTTTTTGATAAGTATCTAGATGGTAAAACAGATCTTCAGAAGTCCTGCCTTTACCCTACTTTCTGGGGTGAGTGAGGTTTGCTTACCTTTTGATTAATGAAAATGTTTTGTTTTATTCTAATGAAGGATATTCACTCTTGCTAGGTTGTGTCTCTTTACTGTTATTTGTAGACATTTCAAGTAGAAATGAAGCCTTATTTAGAAGCCATGAGGCAGAGATACTCATCTTTGGAAATAGAAAGTTCACTCAGGAAATGTTTCAACTTTTCCCACAGACCATTAGAAACATGTCTCCAACATCTCTGAAGATGACCCTCAGGCAGCTTAGAGAAGGAGCTTCCTTAAGCCTCCAGGATGTCTTCATCATGGAGTACAGACTAAGCCAAGCATGCATGGTAAGAAGGCATGCATCCTGGTGCCCTCCGAGTCCTGTGTAGTGTATTAAATTGCATCAATGTTGATGGTTCGTGGGGCCAGTCATCAGTCTTTCTGGTTCCTGTTGATGGTTGGGGCACCAAGTATACTTATGTGGCCAAGTAGCACACTGTAGTTTTTTACTCTTCAGGGTTCAGGGTACACATTCCAAGCACTCTGGCTCTTATGGCACCAAAGAGTTAATGGGATAAAATATTAGTTGGAGCTCAAATGAATATTCCATAAAATAAACATAAAGATGAGGAGTATCTGAGATTTCAATAGTGGGGATGGCAAGCTTTCCCCCTTCCCTGAAGGAAGTCAGAATTCAAGTTGAAAGCAGGTGTAGAAATTGGTAGGAAAAGTTTAATGAACTTGTCATTCCACATCTTGGGGTGACAGGATGACCCCAGGTCACATTTTGTTGTGTAATTTACACATAAGTAGACCTACAGTCTTTTAGAACATGGACAAAATCAAGGTAGGAAAAAATTCCTCAAATTTCAGCCTCTGCCTTTTACAGTTTTATTTGTATTAAAACAATTGTGGGGGAAAATATACTCAAATTTGCATAAAATATTTCCATGGGGTACTTTTGGAGCCCAAAGACACAAAGAAAGTTAACTACCTCTTAATCTCTTTTGAAATTCAAGAGTTTGAGCTCAAACCACTACCTAACTGAATTAAAATCCATTAAGGGAAAGCTTTATTTTGTTGATTTGAAATTTGTAGGCCGACATATTGTTACGCGCATCAAAGGTCATTGCTGCAGGAATGATTAATCTTTAAATTATTTCTGCTAGCTGAAACCTGAAATCCCTTCTCATGCTGATTCAAACCACCTGGGGAAACGTTCAGTCAAGCAGAGGCCTTTCATATGTAGTATTATTTTGCCTGTGGCAGGAGTGATCAAGTCACCCCAAATGCAACTAACGCTAGGTTTGACACTGGCACAAGATCGTGGTTAGTTTTTAATGTGCATTTCCTTCATATGCACATGTATGTATATAGGTTAGGAGCAGTAAAGTAATTCGCATCGTTGTTCCCCATTTCTTGCAGCAGTTGATTGTTCTTTTAAAGGCAGCTGTTTCTGTACCCACATACAAACCCAACAGTCTCCTTTGACACACTTGGATTTAACCCTTCTTCTGTTGCAGAGTGACTTTGCATGAAGGGCTAAATTAAACCATCTTCATATTAATGTAGCAGATCTGCATCTGAAGAAGGTTCATCTGCAGAAACTGGATTAGGACATGTAGATATAATACTACTCAGTCTATGCTGCCCTGATCTTAGTAGCCCTGTGCCTGAATTTTGACAGGCAACTATATATGAATCAGGATGTAAATCGTAGCCATTTAAGGTATCTTTCTTGCTTGAAGTATTAATTTAAGAAAGACAATAACAAATATAAACAACAGATGATACAATATTGGCTTTATAAAGCTCAGACACAGAGTGAGACTTTTTAATTGTTTAATTTATTTGTTTTTATATTTATAAGACATTAAGTAGAAGGTTTCTCTCACACCAACACTTGTCAAGTGCTACATCGCCTAAAGATGTGCCCAAACCAGCTGTACTTATTTAATAAAAACACAGAACTTCATCTGAAGCATCAACACCAGGATGATTTTATTTTTCCCACAAAACTTGGGAGAGGAACTCCTGAGGTGGACAGAAGAGGATACACTGGTGTGGACAAGCACAACACTGCAAGTTAACTTGTATGGTCAATGCAATAGACTAGACCCAATTTTAAATGGAGGTGATAAGAGTTGACCTTGAAAGCATAATATAGGTGGAAAAAGAATTTTTTCTGAAGGATGCACTAGGAAGTTGCTGTGTTATAATATGCTCTTTTATCTTCCAGCGAGGTCATGACTTCTATGAAGGTGTCCGAGCAGGTAAAGTTGAAAGCAGAAACCGTTTCAAGTTTCATAAAAAATTTGCTCCATTCACTGCCATGTTTTTATGTTGTCATTGGCAAAAGCAGCAGCAGTTCATTTGAGGTTGATTTGCTGTGCACCAAAACTTTGTTAGGAAGAGTGTAAAAGTGCCCAAAGAGAAATAATCTGGCTTCCTGACTTGGATGATTCAAATGCCAGTCACTAGACAGATTGGTTCTTACATGTGGGTCAGCTCCTTTATGTTGAAAACCATCAGAGAGGGAAGAAAGCCGGACTATCACCCTTCCATCTGTTATTTCTACAGGTGGGGATTGTGTGTGTTTTTGTTTAACACACAAAACACTGCAGTATCTCAGTTTTATGGCCTGCATTTGAAAGCAGTAAAATCCAGGCAGAAGTGTACCACATTTGTTAAGTGCAGCGTAGGCAGATTTAGCTGAGGTTTTGATTGGTATGAGGCTACAGATCTCATTCAATGCTTGAAGTACTTTTTGTTGTTCACCTGTGAACAGACATCCCTATTGGAAACCACATTACCAAACCACAGTCTATTATCGTAACCAGAGCTCTGTCCTTCATAGCAGGTGAAGGGTGTGACATTTCCCAGGATTCTTTGCATTCTGTAGCGGGATAGGAGTTAATGACAAACATAACATTCCTTAATGGCACTTGATCTTACAGATCAAGAAAGCTGGCATATCAGTTTAAGAGCTGTGGATAAGGCTGGATTTTATTCATCAACATCACTAAGCAAAGGGATTCATAAAGGTGTTTCTAATATAATTGCTAAGATTTTCAAACAACTTGTATGTAACTTGTTGCATAAGCTATGATGGCAGGAGAGCAACTGTTCACTGTTAAATTTCCTCACTGAAAAAGTACTAATCACTGTTCAGAGGATTCTTCAAGGAAGCAAGATTCCTTGTTCAGAGCAGAGAGGAATACCAATAACAAGCGTTCTCAGTTGGCAGTGTGTAAGTTATTAAAACCATCCTGGAGTCAGATAGAGAGGCAGAACCAGGTTACTCAGCATGCTGAACTACAGAGCAATGTGGAATGCTGATTGAGAAGCATTGAGAGCAGCTGTAGGTAATTTATTTCCTACCTTAAATAGTTCAATACTTTCTCATCTGAAAAAGGAATACAACAACTGGGGTTGAATATATTGGCTGTAGGTGTCGACTGTCACTTAAGGCAATAGAATTTTAATGCTGGTTCTCCTCATCTTTTTCATGCTTAAGGTTATTGAGCTAGTACCGTGTTTCCCCGAAAATAAGACACTGTCATTTTTTTTTTGCTCAAAAAAACACATTAGGTCTTACTTTCGGGTAGGTCTTATTTTTTTAATGTACAAAATGTACATTTAATGTACACCCTTCTGCTCTGCACGCTTGTGCTCTGCACTCCAATTGCTGCCAAAAGCTGTATACACCATCCTCTCCAGCGCCTGCTACCGGTCCTGTCACAGGCAGCGGAGGAAGCAGAGCAGCATGAGCCGATGCTTCCTCTATAGTGCCGGCTCCTGTGCCAGGCAGAGTGCATTGGATATCACTCCGCCCTTCACAGGAGCCAGGACTATAGAGGAAGTATCGGCTTAAGCCGCTCTGCTTCCTCCCGCTGCGCCCTCTGCACCCCGCTGGCACTCTGCAAGTAAGCAAAAAAGGTAAGACCTATTACCAATATTTTTTGGTAATAGGTCTTACTTTCGGGGTAGGGCTTATATTATAGGACCTACCCCGAAATAAGACTAGGTCTTATTTTTGGGGTTGGTTGGACCTATTTTTGGGGAAATATGGTAATCCCCCCCAACTTTTTTTTTTCATTGTGCTTAATTTCTGGCCATGGGACTAAATTATCCTGCTATTTATGTGCTTAGTACGAGTTGTGCATTTCTGTCGTAAATGTCTTTAGTCATGTGGCTGTAATTATTACTCCTTTTGACCCCTTAAATCCACATATTCTTTTCTTGTTAAGCATTTTCGCTTTAAAACTTATTACAGGCACTGATTTCCTTCCTTCAGTTCTTTGCCCATGCCTTCTACAAAGCCCAAAGTATCTCTGATGATTTTATCCTCCAAAAACAGTCATCATACAGATTCCAGAATTGTCCCCATTATGATTTAGCACGGGAAAGTAGGGGAAAACTTCAGAAATGTAACACATCGCACAAGGCTTATGGAGGGAAGAATTTAACTTTCAGAATTTCTGACTGATGCAGAACCTGCGGTGCCAGAGGGATATGGATGGGAAGAATCCACTATTCAACATGGATACTTTAAATTCCTTTGAAGTATAAAGCTCTCACGGTCATTACAGAGTGTTGCTCCTCCCTAGCTTTATGATCACTGGGTAATTAGATAGCAGGAGATTAAAACATATGAATTCTAGTCAAACTTTTAAATGTTGCTTAATTCAGCTGTTTATGCCAATGAGTAATGATCAGTGTAGGCCCAAGATCTCTTACACTGCATGGCACGCAGGTGGCTGAAATACCAACTTTAATGTTACATTCTTAGCTGCTCTATTTCAGCAGGTAGAATCAAATAACATTTATTTTTCCTCCCCCTTCAAGAAATTTTCTAAATTGTTCTATCTTTTGTAGAAAAATGCATGTAATCACATGTCATGTGTTGATGTACTACATACACATACATTCAGCAGAGAAAGGCTACCTGTTGCTTCTGATACAAATGTTACGTGAGGTCTCCTGAGACATTTTTCTTTTTTTTCTCTCCTTTTCTGGTAGTGCTTATTGATAAAGACCAGTCACCAAAGTGGAAGCCTGCTACTCTGGAAGATGTGACAGATGAATTCTTGGACTCATGCTTTAAGTCTCTTGGAAGTGATGATCTTAAGTTATAATAGTTTTGGACTAATGCCAGCCTACATCTGTCTTTCTTCTAGTTTTAACACAACAAATTAATAATAATAGTTTCAGCATACATGAGAATCATCAACATTGCTCAAATTACTTATTGTTGTTATGCAATGAAAAGGACTTACAGTTCTTGGAGACAAGTGTAAGCGTAGAAGGAACTGTAGGGGGCAAAACCAGCTACATCTTAACACTCTAGATCACATGGAAGTTATCAGCCATGTCTGTACATTTTTACTTCTCTGTACTAAATAAATATTCATGCACACCACGAATTCTTGTTCTTTAAGCATTATAAAGGCTATTCGTCATTTCAGAGTAGTAGCTCCTCCTGGAGCAAGGAGGTAGGGCCTGCTCTTGGATTTTTTCTTCTCCAGGGGAAAAAGTGGTTCTCCATGCCAGACCAGACTGAAAAAGCAAGAATGCCTCTCAGCCTCTGTTTCAAGAACCAGTGCCCTCCATGTTCAACCTTAGCAGGTGATCTAACAGCAGTATGAACCATAACCAGAAAAACTGAATGGTATTCAAGAGGCACAGAGAGAAACACAGAACAGGCATTACTGAGAGCCATTGTGTCTGGGACTCAGGAGATCTGGGGACCTGCTCAGCCATGGAGCCAACTGGGTGACTTTGGGCCAGTCACAGACTCTCAGCCCAACCTACCTCACTGGGTTGCTGTTGTGGAAATAAGGTTGATAGCAGGAGGAGAAGGAAAATAATATATGCCTCTTTGAGTTCGTTGTATGAAAAAAGTAGGATATAAAAATCTAATAAGTAAATAGCACAGTCCTCCATGGGACGCTGGAGCCATCTATTTTTCTCATCTGTAAGATACTGGTAGACACCTCAAACTAGAGAACCTGTCTGATCTTGGAAGGAGGCAGCAGCGGAACACCCACTGTGAGACAGGCATTGGCCTCATTGCCACAGTGAAAATGAAGGGCCAGTGGGAGCCTTGTCCAAACTCTTTTTGTTCCAAACCAAGCCTGGTGAGGCTGCTGAGGAGAAAGCAGCAGCTCTTGTGAGGTCACTCCCAGCAGCACCACACCTGCCCAAATGAGGGTAGGGTTGGGGGTGAAGTGTGGGAGTGAAAGGAAAGGCCCTGGGGATAGGTTTCATTCCTTTACCATGCAGCTACTCTGTTGTTACCTCTATCTTCCTTCCTAACTCAGAGATGAAAGGGACCTCAGGGTGCTGGTTGACTGCAGGCTGAACATGAGGCAGCAGTGTGATGCGGTGGTCAAGAGGGCGAACACCACCCTTGGTTGCATAGCCAGAAGTGTGGGTTCTAGATCGAGAGAGGTATTACTACCACTCTATACGACTCTGGTGTGCCCGCAACTGGAGTATTGTGCTCAGTTTTGGGCCCCTCATTACAGGAAGGATACAGCCAGGTTAGAGTCAGGGCAGCGTAGGGCCACAAGGTTGGTGGCTGGTTTGCAGGGGATGCCGTATGAGGCGAGACTGAGGGAACTGGGTCTCTTCAGCCTGGAGGAGACTCAGAGGGGATATGTTGGCGACATACAGGTATGTGAGGGGATGTCACATGGAGATGGGTAGAGACCTGTTCTCCCCTGCAGAGGAAGGCAGGACGCGCTCCAAGGGAGCAAAGCTCAGGGATCCGAGGTTCCATTTGGATACCAGGAAGCACTTCCTGACAGGACCCCGAGGGTGTGGAATGGGCTTCCATGGGAGGTGGTTGAGGCCCCATCGGTGAGGGTGTTCAAAGATAGGCTGGACATGCACATGGTGGGCATGTTGTGAGCGGAGCCGGCTGGAGCTGGGGGTCAGACTAGATGGCCTGGGAAGCCCCTTCCGACTCGCGCTGTTTCTATGTTTCTAAAACAAAAGAACTTCTGTCACTTAAATTCAACGAAGAGGGGCTAACGAATGATATGGCAAGCCCTCCAGAAGATACAGATGAACAGAAGCCCAGGCAAACTGGACATTTTCCATGTGAATTTGTTTCATTTAGGTGGCCACCTTGCAAATATCCTCCATGGGAAAATGTCCATTAAAGAAATAAAGGCAGCTGCCCCCTGGAGGGAGTTTACTGTGATCTCATCAGGGTGATCCACTTGTTCAATAACCAGTAAGTCGGAATGTTGCATTCCCTAAACCACCTGGAGATCATGGAATGAAAACCCTTATGTCCCAAGGACTTTCCCCGAAGAGCCACAAACAGGGTCTCACTTTTCCACATCTCTAGTGCTATCCAAATAAACTGTGACTTGTACCAACTGTACTCTTGAAGATGGGAGAGTTAGGGCAAATAGTATAGAAAAAGACAATTTCTGCAACTTGTGAAATTGGGAATGTATTTTCTGTACGAATGTTGGGTCAGGTTTCAGCACTGGCCTATCAGTGTAACAATACATGACCCTGGGTCAGGAGATACTACCCTAATTGCCACCATCTCTGGAGAGACACTGAAATGATTTTATTTTGCTAAAACAGCATTATATTGTGGATTTTTGTTTTTTCAACAGAAATATAGACTATTTAATGACATACGTACAATTTGTCTGGTTTTGGTTTTGAAGATGTAAACATTTTTTCTGGATTTTTGAGAATTTATTTTAAAGTAATTTTTATTGAAAACAAATAGGTTGCATCAGACAGGTCAACATGAGGAACTTAACATTTATACTTGGTAAACTAATTCATGTATTCAACTAATTCAATCATCTTCATTTTTTCCCATCTGTTCTTTCTGGAAAAGAAAAGCAATGCTTTCTGCTTTCTCAGATTCCAAACAGTGTCTCATTTTAAAATGTACTAAAGGAAGAAACACGCTTTCTACACTGACAGAAGATGCCACTGCCATTAAAAGCTGGATTGCCACTTGACAGTCTCTGAATGTAACTTTCACTAATATTTCTTTTAACACGTCATTTCCAAATTTGTATTCCTTGAATAACTCACTGTTTGAAATGTATTATAGCATGCATTATGGAGGGATTCTTTATAGCACTGTTCTTCCTCAGCTGTTAAGGATTGACCCTGACCTTATAAAGAATGTTTGCAAGGAAATGAACTGGAGATAGTGCTTGTTCCAAGTGCTGCTTTAATGCCTACAGTTTAATTCTGTCATTGAGCATTTCTCTTTTTAAGATCTCTTTCAATTCCTTTGAAATATCAACAGATTCAGCAATAAAAGTGGTATTTCCTTACATTTAAATTGTCCAAGGCTGTTGAAACAGGCTTCAGGATAGTCAGCAAGTGTTCCACATTTTGCTTAACTCCCAGATTGAGAACTTTAGTTGTGATATTGTCATCTATTTTTTTCAAGTTCATAAACCAACATCCAATCAGGTCAAGTCTTGATATAATGTTCAAAACAATTCACTTAGGAGTTCCATGATACATCCTCCCACTTTCTTCAGAGTAGCTGCTGCAAAGTGGTTGTTTAAGGAGGTATTTTGCAATTTCAACATCATTAGACCCAGCAGTAGCACAGTGATTAGAGTACTGGACTAAAACTCAGGTGATCTGGGTTTTAATCCTCACTCTGCCATGGAGTTCATTAGGTGACTTTGGGCCAGTGACAGACTCAGCAAAACCTACCACGTAGAGTGGTTACAAGGATAAAAAGGAGAGGAGGAAAACTTGTAAGCTGTCTTCAATCGCTTGCAAAAGGAAGAAAGGTGGGACATAAATATATTGTATTAACAAGCCTTTATTTCTGGAGCACTGAAGTCTTGAGATACAAGGTGGATCAAATGAGCACAATCATTTGATTGTGGGATTGGGATTCTCAGTTTGGGATCCTCAGCACTTCCTTCTAGATTTCTTCTCACCTTGGTTGCACATGTGACCCAGCTACAAAGGAGATAATTTTTTCTAATAGTTTGCTATAGTTTGTATTGCTACTTTTTGAACATTCTGCTTTATTTCCTTGATGTATCAATTGAATCTGTAACACATCCCTTTCTTTTGTCGTCACACAAATACTTATAATACCCTGTGCATTCTCATGTCCTTTTTGTTATCTTCAAAGCGTCATTCTTCTGTGACTTGCCTTTTAATTTTGCTACCAGGCCTTGCATTTCTTTGTCATTTTTGCTGTTGCATGTCTGCCTTTCTTACCCACAGGTATAAGAAGTTAATTGAAATATTCCCACAGTATCTTTTTCAGCCTGCTGCCATTATAGGTTTTCCCTTCTCAGTCTAGAATGGTAGACCTCAGATAATGAAGCCTATACTTGAAAGACCTCAAGCATTTCTAAGGTGTTCTGCTCATAGCATTTTACTTCAGTTTTGGCCCCTCCTGTTGTGCATTTGCTTCCGGGCCCAGAATAATTCCAGTTCCAGTAATGCTCTACTCATTGACACTTTCACTGTCTGAAAGTGTGCACTTTCAGAGGACGAAGTAAAGGCTTGACTTGGGCTTAATATTTGATTTTTATATACCCGGGCTATATCCATGAAAACACATTGTGGCATGTTTTATGTAGGGCAAATAGTTGTGTGATTTCTTTTGCAAAATGACAGCACAGCAACCCCTCGCCCACGTAAGTAGCCACAATGAGTTGCTGTGCTGTTCAGAGCTGAACCACTTCCCACAGGGTGGCTTACTTCTAGGCAACGCACCACCCTGACCATCCATGCCTTATTCCAGGCGTTGTTCGACATGCAATGGAATGTCATGGTTTCTGAACCGGGGTGGGGGGCTGGTTTCTCTGGGGGGAGAGGACAGTGGGCCACTCAGTACAAATGGCACCAACCCCTTCCTACTCCTGCCAGTGACAGCCCCTCTGCAAAATGTAAATAGCACTTTGGAACAAGTGTCACTGACTGGTTTATCACTTTTTTCAGTAGTTTTGCAGCCCATAAAGTTAGCCAAATATCTTCATGGTTTCTTGTAAGTTTCTCCCCCCCCCCCCCCTTTTGTAGGTGCAGAAGTCTGTACTTATCGTTGATATGTGCCATTGGTCATATAGATGGAACCTGACAAAGCAAGACTACAGATAGACCAGTTTGTGCACAGTTGCTGAGCTGTCAAGTGAAAAATCACGTGTGAAGAGGGAAAACCAGATGCACCAAAATGGGGTGGTGACAAGAGGTCCTCCTAGCAGTTATCACGTGATTTTCAAGTGCTGAACTGACATTTCTTAGTAGCTTTCACATTTTAGACAGTTCCCCAATTCTCCAGCTACTCCAGAAAGGGAGATAGTAACCCTTTCCATGGCTCCTTTCAGAGAACGTATTGCTGTAGCTATTGCAATTCCCGAACAAGTCCAAAGAGGGAGAGTGCAGCTGGATAGGACTGAGCTGAGCCACATGGAGGAGGGTGTGTAAGTCCCACTGGTGCTCATGCACAGTCTCTCCTTCTGTCTTGACACCTCTAAACCAGCTGTTGTTTTTCAAACTGTCTGAAAAATCTGTGCATATTCTTTTTACTGTATATGCAAATGTTACGCCCAGAAGATAAATAAAAGGGAAATATAACACACATGCCTTCCCTTTACTTCCCAGTAATAAGATCTGCATATATTGCCTAGTAAAAGAAAAAAAAGCAAACCTTTTCCAGATAGAGAACTAGTGAAAATTTCATGGCTGGGGATTAAATGGAGGAATTTGTGTACATCTGAAAGGCCAAGAATAGATAAAAAGAAAACACAAGTGAGGCCTGAAAACTACTCCCCACTTCCAATTGACTATTTTTGTGGTTCTGAAAGAGTACAGCAGTACCTGAAAATTAGTAGCCATCAAAGCAGAGAGAGGGTGAGTTCTGCCACAAAGGTTGCTGGAGAAGTGATGGCAGAAACAACCCACAGTGAACCCGAGCATCCCCTGCATGATGTGAGCCTAGCCACCGAGCCCCAGCCTGCTTAGGGCATCTAGAAGGTTGTCATGATGGACAGTATCAGCAGCTAATTGTACTGAAACTGTGAATTGTTCCATTCTGTGGGAAGCTGTAAAGCACAGAAAGAAATTGTGGCTGTGTGCACATAAGCACCCCCTCCACAAGTTGTGACCCATCACAATGTTAGGCATTTTACTATTCATATTGACCTGTTTCTTGGGCTCCCGGACATGTAACAACAGCCTTGTATCATATCGCATTGGTTTTTGCTTCAGAGTTAAATTAAAATTTTGCATGTCAAATAATTGTTGGATTTTTGTTCTGTTTGCTGCACAGTGACATTTCATATGTTTTTTATAGTTTGGCAGATCAAACTACCATTCTTCCACTTGTTTCTATGGCAATAGATATAATTTCAGGATTCAGAGTTCTCAAAAGAATCAAGATAGTAAAAGCCTTTGGAAGAAACTGGGAAAGTTTACTTGGGGGAGAAATGTTCCTTAATAGTGAATGAGAAACAGGGTGGAATGACAAAGCAGAAATAACATACAGCAGCATTTATCTGCAGTTCTTCAAGTTAGAGGGTTAAGAAACGTAAGCTATTTCTCCCAACTTCCATGAATGGGGAGAAAGCACATACATAGTTAATCCTAACTCCAACTTGTTTTGTACCATTACCAAAAAAGGGGAGGTCTCCACATCCTTTCTGTCCATCTCATTGATTGTTGCACTTTTGTTTCCACAGTTCATGTGAAACCTGTTCTTTTCTTGAATCATTTTCCATCTGGTGATTGAAGGCAGACAGGCAAAGAATTTTCATTTGCACACCACTCTTCCCTCTTGGCTTTTCCTGCTATACCCCAGCTTTGAGTTGGGAAAAATATATTTTATTTGACTTCCAAGTATTTTTAGGGAGGCTGAATTCAGCCCAAAGGCTAATCCTTTTAGCCCTGAAAATTTTTTATTCAATTTTGTATCTCTCTCTTATCTTCAGGTTTCTGAAAGCAGAATCCAGGTGCTCAAGGCTAAATATGAATCCGTATGTTTCATGATAAGAGTGTGGGATTTAACCTGGCTTTCCTACCTTCCAGCCAACAACGTCTTCCAGTCTGGCCCTCTGTTTAAGATCTTCTGGCTCATATGGTGCTACATTTAATGCTGTGATCTGCCTTCAGTCCCAGTTGCTGGGAATGGGTGGGATATAAATAAATAGCATCATCTTGTCTCTAATGCTTAAACTATTACAGAGATTCTGCCAAGTAAATATTACTTGCAAGAAAAAAAATAGTGTCTCTCAACTGTAATTGGTTTTGAGAATCAAATTTAAATGCCTTTGATAAATATGGGTATTTGGCCTGAAATCTTAAGTCAAAAGAAAGAAAATGTCACAGTGTTTTCAATACATATTTCAACATAGTATGTTCCAGATAAATACGCAAAAGTATGAAACATTTTTATTGAAACTCACTTGCAACTGGTTAATTGTAATACATATTGTAAAAATATAGTATGCTGTACTTTAGGGTGCAGCTTTCTTTACGCTGCTGAAATACTAGATTTACAATTTTGTGCTGCAGATAGTGCACTATAGTATGATCATTGCCATATTTACTTAGTGACATTTTTCTGTTACTTTAAAGAGTAACTTGGGAATTCCTGTACTACCAGAATAAAACAGATGCTAATCTTTTGAGAGGATGCATTTGCAAAAGACTGCCTAAAGTTGTGATACTATTAAAAGGGAGCCAGTCTGACATTCAGTGCTGGGTCTATCTGGGCTAGAACCACTTCAGTAATATTGTTACATGGAATTATATTAGCTTAAAAATGCTAGGAATTTCATTTGGCGTTTCAGATCTGGAAATGTCAAGCTCATTTCCTACTATTCCCCTGGTGCCCCTTCCAATTTACTGTGTGCTGAAGACAGGCTTGCTGCTACAGATTCTGCTCCAAGGGGGAACTGTAAGTAGCTGGAAAAGGTAGCATCGATCACTTATGTTTTTGAGACAGTGACACCAGAATAAAATGAACCCTGCTTGTGGATTATCTGTGCCATTTTTTCTAGTCAGTACTGAAAATATATTGCAGTTGGAAATGGTATTGCATGAATAGAGTATGGTTGGTCTAACAATAATGGGGGGGGTGGCATTGAAAGTTAGGACTTTTCTTTTCCACAGCTGTTCATGTTGCTTGAGTAGCTAGTAGCATGACCCCTGTGATGTCTTAGATGTAACCTTCATTCCATTTGCCTTCTACTGAAAGTTATTCTTCAATGAAAAAAATATTGAGAATACAGCCCTAAGCACTTTCAGTAGAACTGGTTGTCTCCATAAATCATTGGTCTAATTCTGCCCGCTGCATTTCTCGCCTACTGCATTTTCTGCTTGCTAATAATGCTTTGAATTATGACAGCTCTTACCAATATTTTGTGATGTTGAATAAGTAGGTATGTTGTTTTGTGGCCTATATCATTCAGGCAAAATAATTAAAATTTCTTACGCTATCAGGTTACATCCTTTGCCATTAGCAGAATACACTGGAATCGCCTGCAATATTACCAAAGCATTTTAAATGCAATTTGTTTTCTCTTGCCTATTAAACCATCAAGGTTATTTATATTTTCTTTATCTTCTTTGCAGCAGCAAGTCTTTGGTTTGACGTTAGTATGTGTATGTTCAAGTGAATGAACTTGCACACTAGTCCCACTGCATCAAGATGATCAGACATGTCTAAGAAAAGAAGCTGGAGTGGTGGAATGACCCATTAATTAGCATGGTCCAGTTTCCATAATAAGCACTTAAATCTCCTATCAGTGTGTGTGTGTGTGGGGGGTTAAACATTTACTTAATTTGTGCCTGTTGAAATTAATCAGACTTTTGAAATACTTAGCTTCAGCAAGACTGCATCCTGTGCTTCAATTCATGGTTTCCCTTAGATTAGCAATTCTCACCACTCAGTTGCAACTGGAATGTTTTACCACTGTAGCTAATTTAGCCATAGCCTTATTTCTGAAATTCTGGCCCAAGATTTTGAACTATCCCCATTGTGTGCCACAGATTTTAAAAGAGCTTGAGCACATATGCTTTCTTCTTGAAACTCTTAAAAACTGTGGTCGATACAGAACACCAGATGGGATTCATTGGTGCACAGAGCCATATGCTAGCCCTAGAACCGCTGGCTGCTACTTTGGTTCTGCTCAAGATTCGGTGTAAAGGCAGTGTATTACAAATGCCTTAACGCAGGCCAACTGCCTCCGTACAATGGCATCTTCTCAATTCACAACCACTGTTGTCTGAGCGTTGCTTTATTGCACTAGCACCAAAACATGAGATGTCTGGCAGAGACTTGTTGTGAGGAGCTGCATCTTGCAATTCATGGCTCATCACTTTCTATGAAGGGGATGTCACTGTATTTGCTTTCAGTTATTGCCCATTGCTTCACAGCTTGATCCAGAATCTCTAGGGAGAGACGGTGAGCGAAGTCCAGAACCACAGCATTTGCTGAAGATGGCGCCCCAGATTTTCCCTGAAGTAGGGAAGCTTTTTCTATGTTACATCCACTATTGTAGCCGGTGACTTCCTTGCTTCCGTCATCTAGAATAGTATGAGGGAAGGGGCTTTTGGATTTAATACACCCCATGGTACAACTGCAGTATAAGAGTTCAGTTTAGCTGTACAGTCACCCGTGAAGTATTGTCCTTTAGAGGGGCACTGAATGCACTTTCTTGCAAGTAGAGATGAGAACACCCTTCTCTCCCAATATCTGTGGAGAAAATATTTTACATTGTAGGCTTCAAATAGATACTTCTGCAATTTTTATTTTGTGTTCTGCACATACACAAGCAGTTTTATAATAGATGATTTAGAACCAGAAGAAAAAAATGTTTATTTTCTATTTAGGCCTTGAACAATTAGTTTCGTAATTGGTACAAATAGTCACTGCTAGATGTAGATATTCTAAATCACAATTTTAACCTGTTAATTATGAAGTGGGCTTAGAAATAGGTTACAAATATCATCTCGTACCTAGGAGCAGCTTTGGATGTTCAAAAGGGGAGCGTTGGGGTGCTGAGAGAGTTTGTTGGGATTTTCCATTTTCTTTTGGGATGGAAGGAGATATGCAGGCCTCCCTCCACATTAGATTATGAAAGTGTGAATACTCATCAGCTCACACTTCCTAACTGAATTTTCAAATGCATGCCAAGATAAAGGTCAGGATTCTAGGATCTACGGTAGAACTACTAGCACTAGATTGAATTTTAATAATAGACAAAAATATTTCTTTGTAGATGTATTCAAAGTATGTATAGAGGTGAGACGGCCTTGAAAACTGATTTTTTTTCTCCAAGGCACTTTTTTTGTATTTTTCTGAAAAATCAGAAGACTAAACAGCTTTGGATAAAGAAGTATTCTTTAGAATTTAAGGCAAGCTATCTATATATTGTTGTTCAGTCTTTACTTTCCCCTGCTCCCTGACATGACTTTCCTAGGAGACCAGAGATGTGACACTTCTGGAAATAATGAAGCAATGGGGGAAACTGTTTTTAATTCTCTTTGAAGATCCCTTCCTATCGTAATATTGAAAAAAATATGCATTCTTGACAATCCAGTGTTTCAGAGGTTGTTCTGGTTAGATGTTCTAGTCTACAATTCACATGTGAAAAAAGTCCTGTAGTATATCCTAGCACTGTCACCAAATACAATGGACAAGGTTAGTTATTCCACCTATGTTTCTTTTCATTAACTTTTTTGGTTCTATAGCTTGTGGCTGTAGAACTAGCCATGTTTTTTAAAAGTTGCCATTTTTAAAGTTCTCAGATTTCACCATTAGGAAAAGCTGCCTCGGGTTTAAAACTACTGAACTGCTCCCACTCTGTTCCCCTTTTTTAAGGCAGTAAATTGGTCTCTACAGTGTATGCAGAGGCATGGAATTGATGGCACCACTAGAAATAGCCTTTGAAAAGGAACCAAAGAATGTTTGTTACCAAATTGAATAAAATTAACTAATAGGCTGAGATAGTTTAAAGAATCTTAAATATATGGTGGCTTATGGTTCCTAACCCAAGTCTCTTCAAACTAAATAAAATCTCAACAGCATTACTTTCAGAGCAGGTTTGTCTCAGCTCCACCCCACAAGCAAGAACCGATTTAAGAATTTCCCTAAGCTTCCTTCCGAAAGAGAAACATATGGTACATTAGTCTTTCTCAGCCTCCAGTTCTTCCTGCTTCTAAGATAATTCAGATATTTCAGAGATTACTTGCTAAAGCTTTCCCAATGTTTTGCATAACTTGGTTTGATAATAGAATTATAATGATCAGTATATTAAATTTTAAAATATACTGTATTCAGGTAATTATTACAAAGATAACAGTTTGCCATTAAAAGTTTTAAAGTAATTTTATAAGCAAACCAAGTTATGCAGAAGATAACTTTAAGAACATGAAATGGTATTAATGGTCCTAATTCAGCCATATCCAGGCTGGTATCCTGAGGCAGATGGGAGTGGAAGTCCAAAATGTCTGGAAGATACCAGGTTGGGGAAGGCTAGCCTAAACCATGAAAATGATTCCAGACCTGTAAAGTGTGCTAAGAAAATTATTGTTTATTTTGTAATCTTTTCCAAGATTTTACATACCTACATGGCCCTTTCTAGTAATAAACATTTCACTTTTCTGGAACAAAATCTCAGTTGTTAAAGAAATGCAGCAACTATTAAGCCAGATTCATGGCTCATATAACATCTGTTCTCAGAAATCTGAGCCATTTCTGGTTGATGTGATGCATGGCTTCTTTCTGAGCAATGGTGTCCAGCTAAGCCATAGGTGCAGAACCTGAGGGCTATGAGCCCAATCTGGCCTTTCTGGAGTTCCCATGCCCCCCTCCCATTTCACCCAACTGTTCCCAGCTTATATGCAAGTTTACACTATTCCAAAAGGTGGGAATAACTCTCCTGGATTTAATTACTGGCAAAAAGAGTGTTACACTAAAATATGCTGATATTTTTGGTTCTAACCCTTTTGCATTCAGCCTTGTCCACTAGCCATTCTTAGGTTGTTAGCATGACATATGAATCCAGAAATGTAGGGTTATTCATGGATTTAAAACCCTAAAGTAATCCAAGAACAAATTTTAAGTTACTTGCTGGGTTGTTTAAGCCATGAAAGGGGTGGAAAAGCATTAAGTTCATATTAATGGTAGTTTGTGCAAAAGTATCAAAACAGCCTTCACAGTTCCTATCAAAATCATCCCAGCTCATAATGCAATAGCATGTATGACTGATCACAAATGAAGAATTAAAAGATTCCTTGCACTTGCCTCCCACTTTTGGAAGTTATAGGCAGCCTATAAATACATTGAATGAATGAATGAATGAATGAATGAATGAATGAATAGCATCCTATAGTTGAGCAGTATACACCTGGAAAGAGATGGCAGAAAATGATTATCTCCAGATAATCTAAATCCCCCTTCCAGTTGGAGAAGAACCCTCCTATACACAACAGTTTATGGCCAATAGCTTGCTCCTCTAGCAGTGGTCCTAGCTGAATTCAACCATTCAGCTGCTTCCTACTCTACAGGAGAAATCTAACAGCACACTTTCTTGATCATCCCATGAATAGTAGACTTTTTACTAAGCCACTTCTGTTTGTTCTGATAAAGGTGTTGAAGACCTTTTACACTAGGAAAACAGGTTGATTGAGGAAATATAAGATTTGGTTAGTATTTTCAGGAGTTAATATAGGGGAGTTTGAAAACGTAGACATTTGAAGTCAGGCAAACAAATGAGGAGAAGGGAAGAAGGTACTTGGACTGTTTCTCACCTACCATGTCCTTAAAAGCAGGTATAGCCCATTGGCAGAGCACACACTAATTTCTGGAACAACGTTCTGTGTTCAAACTATGCATATTCCTTCTTTATGATTTGAAGAGTAGTTCTCATCACACTTCTTTCAAATCAGGCTATACAAGATGAATCTTTCAAAAGTCTTCATCACACTTCTTTCGAATGAGGACTACACAAGATGAACCTTTCAAACCAACCTATTCAAAACTTGCATAACTCTTGTCCCTCTAGTGTAGGACTTTCTTAAATAAAAAACTTTTAAAAACAAAACCTGCAGTTCTGGATGCACATTTTATCTGAGTAAATAACCTTTTGGCTATAATGATATTCCCTTCCCCCACTCCCAGGATATTTGCTAAAATAAATCACACACAAAATAAGGAAGCAAAATCATATTTATTGTCCATCAATTCTCAGTCTCCAGATTTGAATCAAGATCTTCAAATGGAGTTTACAAGGACATGTTTTAGATAAGATCTTTTCATTTGCAATCTGCTATGCAGAATATTAATGCAAATACTTCAGTTATTTGAATTTAAGATTAATTATCTGAACATGGATTTACAAGTTAAGATGTAGTTTACCATTGAGTTGTGAGCTACTATAGGGCATAAGTTGGAAGAGAGAACAGAGAGTAGGAGGCTACATACAACTTTTTATTTCTGAGAGTGTTATGGCTAGGAACAAGTCTTGCCCAGAATGGCCATTTAGTGGCATGTGGAAAATATGTACCTCAGAATTTGGGAAATGCCTGAAAAATGTGCTCTCATATTTTCAAGATTGCCTTTTTGTTTACTGAAGAAGTACTTTCGTACAAAATATCAGCAGTTAGTTTAGACTTAATCTCTATTACTTGGTTCGTTTTGTACAAGTCCACAGCAAATGGCTACCATACATCAATAACAAACAAAGAGCTGCCATACATCAAAAGATGCAGCATGTCATCTCATGCCAACCATAAACATAAACTGCTGGGGGCGGTTTCTATTTAGCAATTATGTAATTTCTCCTATGTCTCTTACTCACCAGAGATTACTTGTATCTAGTCGTAAAGTAACACAAAGGGAATTCATACTTAAAGTTAATCCCAAGTGGAACACAGCAGGACAACAGTTCTTGTGACAACCCAGACCTCATAGCAGGGTTTAAGAAGGTAGCTAAGTATTGGAGATACCAGCCATAGAGGAGAGATGCCATTCAACAGCTGAAGTACTTTCACAAACCACAGATGCTTATGAGAGCCCACAAATTATGAAACATTCCAATTCAGAGCAAAGGTTGTCCTCAATACATTTTCTGAAGAGTATGTTCAGCATTAGAAGGAGTATTTGCAATAGCTGGAGTATGCCATAGCCACCTCCTAGATGGCTCTCTTAAGTTCTAGCATCGTAAACCAAAAAAATGTAATTTCATTTGCTCTGTATGTCAGCTGGTCACTCCTTCCTCAGAAGATTTAAGGTACCCAACTGTCAAGAAGATGCTAGTCAACACTAGCACTGGAGGTACTATTAGCGGATTGCACATTCATTTAAAGATTCTGCACATGCAGTCAGGATTTTGGAAATACTGGACAGTGCTAGACTCTGTCACTTACTACTTTTACATAAAAGCTGTTCTCTTAATGTTATTCTGGTTACAGGGCTTAAAACATTTCACAGGGAGAAATAGCTTCAATGCTTTTCAGGCCCCAAGGGAAAACATATGCTAGTATATTAGGACTATTGCATTTTGATTTAATTAGGTTCTTCTTCAGAGGCACTATGCAATTTCTAAATTTGTAGCATTACATGGTATGGTGCTCCTGTGAAAGACCCTACTTTGATATGCACTGGAACTTATAAAGTACTCTTCTGTGCCCTTACAGTTTTTGCCTTTTTTTTTTTTTTTTTAACTTTTTTGTGCACAAAACAAAAATATGGGCACCCAAAAAAAAAAAGAGAGAGAGAGAGAGAGAGAGAGAGAGAGAGAGAGAGGGAGGGAGGGAGGGAGAGATTTTAAAGATACAGTATTCAGACTGCCAAACTTCATCAGTGGGATGTAAGACTTAACCAGATATAAGCAGCTGACACCTTGTATATACCATATAATGAAAGCAAAAACTGAAGAAAGGTGGTGATCCAATAAAGAATTATATTACCTACTTCTTTTGAGAGAGTTAATAAAGACTTAGGAGAATTCAGAAGTCTTATGTAGGAGCCTTATACCTGCTATCTCCAGTATCAGAACTATAGTAAGGTATGGTTTCAATCTAGCTGAATAGACAAGCCACAGGAAAGTAATTAGTCATGTTTAAGAACTCATCTGTGTTCATGGTTTGGCCAACAATGCTGTCTTCAGAAATTTTTCTAAAAAGTACACCAAATGGCTTTTGAAATGCATTGGTTTTTTCCTGAATGATAAAGGAAATAATATTTTTCAAGGACTATCACTTCCAGAAATAAATAACTCTTATACAATCATTGCTTGACCACCAGGTTTTAGTGACCTTCTCCAAATAATTAAGTCTTAGAAAGCATTAGGCTGATGGTGCCTAAAACTTAAGCAGGAGTCTTTAGTAACCATCTCCACATGGACAAGAGACCTGGAATTCCCACAGTTTTCTGGATTCTTTTATTCCCCATCTCTCCATTGGAATGTATGATTCTTCTGAAATTAAAATCAGCAGTCTCCCCAAGGGAAACAAGTAAGAGTTCCAGTGTTGGTCAGAGATCAGTGTAAAGAAGTTTCCCTACAAACAACCCAAGGTTTTTCTGTTGTTAGGAGCTTTCTCCCTTTTCCATATGTGATTAAAAACAACAACAATAACAACTATCTCCTTATTATGCCTCTATTAGTAGAGGTCACTTTTTCACCTTAGAAGCCAGGAGCTTAAATCACGCCCAATTATGTTGGATGTATAGATAAGATTAAAGGCTTTTAACATGAAGTTATGGGCCACTCATTTCTGTAGCTTTTATGTAAAGTCAGTAAATTGTGAATGTCAGCAAATGCTGTGTTTTGATTTCTTAACAACTAACCACTCTGTCTAATCTTGAGTTTGACCCATTGGAAATGGGTGGTCTAAGCCATTTTTAGGTCAGGAATCTCAAAACAAGTAACACAGAACTAGTACCAAGGGCAGTCAGTCCACAGTCAATATTTTCTGACACATCTGCAGTTCTCAAAATCCCTTTGATAAACAAGAGCTGCTATTCTGAAATTATCTCAAGAGAATCAATGCACTGTAGTCTCATCACAGATCAATCTATAGCATCTAGCACTAGCAGCTGCTAACACTGGCTAGTCTTCAGATCTGAAAAACTGGCGTTTGCCAGTCTTAAACAGTGTTTTATTGCCAGAAAAGTTGCAGCATAGCTAGAAAATAATGCAAACTTTATTTTTGAGAAGGAGACATTTGAAGTAAGTTTCCCCAGGGGTTTTCTATATTGGAAAACAAAATGGTGGAATGAAGAGATATTCTGCACCCAACAGGAATAAGGGAAATTAGTCATCATTTATATGTTCTAGACAGAACAGCAATAAACTTTTTTTGAAGCATTAAAAAAACTGTAGGCTAATTTGCTTAACATGTTTTGTCTGACCTGTTGAACTGAAGATGTTGAACCCATGTTTTAGCAGAAAGCCAATAAACCAAAGTTCACTACCTAATTGGAAGTCTACTATAAAGAAAAGCAATTCCAGTAAGAAGGCTCTTTTTTATAGTGGGATGGTTTGTTTATTGTTTATTGCACAAGTCCTTAGACCGTTGCTACATTATAGGTGGATGGGATGGGTTTTTATATTGATTCCTATATTCTGGGACAAGAAGTCCAAGTGTAGCAAATAACACTTTTCCTCTAATATTATGAGCTCTTGGCTGGCACATAAGGTAACAATGTTTAAAACTTTCAATCCTGGCTTATTCTAAACCATTGTTACCCATCTTGTCTAAACTCCAGAAAATGTAGTTTGCACAAACCAGTTTTCATAGCTTGTAAACTAAATGTGGTGAGATTCTGAATTAACTACTCTGTGTTTGCATGCACTACAGTTTCTCCAACTTCAGACACATGTGAAACTTTAGAACAAGCCAGTAATGGATTATTTAAATTGTTTCTCCTCATGTGTGAAAAGAAGGGAGGTGTTTGCATACCTGAGGCTCATGCTAAGAACAACAACCATAAATGGGTTAAGGTTTGCAATTGGACTTTTCTTTACAATATTTGAGAACCCTGAAAACAAAACCTGGTGAGGCCTAAGGAAACTAGTGAAAGGAGAAGAAAGGTATGCTAGAGGAGGGATACTTAAACAGTGGGGCCATGGTTAATAGTTGTGCCAAGCAATGAAGTTTCACTCTGTAAAGTTAGTGGGACTTAAATTCAGATAAATCACACCTTATGCTTTAAGCAAAAACTACAAGCAATCCTTTCTACGTAACTACGTGATTAGAAACTTCCATGAGAAAACAACAACACAGTACTTGCACACAAGTAAAACTGAAATGAGGCAGGACATAGGTTTACCTGTTGCTCCTGCTCTCCAATATTCCTACCAAACTAGCTGCCGTTTAGAACGAATCTGCAAAGGGTGCTGCCAGTGGGGGCAAACATCTCAATTTACCAGTCTAGTGTAGGGCCATTCCAGGTTTTTCTCACAGGAAGCTTTCTTTCCTCTCTATGGGTTTTCCTCAGTGGCAGCAAGACTGGGAGGGTTTGTGGGTAAGATGGCCACTGCAAGTTTTGAGACAGGAACGTAACATCAGAGTAGAGTGAACATGAGCTTGAGCTTCTCAAAAGCCACACCACTCTTCCACAGTCCTTGACTGGCAGTTTCCAACCCTTGCCTTTTTGGAGGAAGGGTTTATGAGGGAAAGAAGACTTTGTTAACAGTGTCCTCCATAAAGTGTCCCCAAAGGAAGGGTGAGGCATGAAACTCACCTTCTTCTGCCCTGAAATGCTCCAGGCACTTTGAAGGATGGCTACTACACTTTCCCATCATCTCCTTTTCTGACAAATCATTGTCTCAGGGGCCATGGATGCCGTGAAACAGCTGTACCTCCCCCTGCCCAGAAAGGGCAAGGAAAGTACACTCCGTCGGAGTCACTACCTCAGCGCACACTCTGTCACCTCCTTGTCTTTCCTCAAAGGCCAATTATTTAAGAGCTAAGAACCTGGGTGAGTCTGCTGCAAGGACTGATGGCAGAAGGGCAGCTGAGGAAATTAAAATAGTTAGTGACAGGCCCTTCGGCAAGGGCTCCACCCTCAATCTACCAGGTAGATCTCAAGACTCTGGGGAAAAAAAGAAATAGATCCTGCGTGACAAAATCTGCCCAGCCCTGTTGTGAGATCATTCACCTAAACAAACTTGCAGAGCCCTTACAGCTGGAAACCCGAATAAGCCCAGATTCCTAATTGCAGGATCTATCTATCCATCCATCCATCCATCCATCCATCCATCCATCTATTTAGGAGACTTCTATGCCGCCCCATTCGCCGAAGCCTCAGGGCGGTTGTAAAGGTGTTTTCAACTGAATGTGCTTGCAGAACTCTTCACAGATCTTCATGCTGAAAACAGAAACCCTACAAGGCAGCTGGGTGCACAGGGACACGGGGTGGGTCTATGCATTCTTCTACAGGCATGTCTGTCTGCATCCTCCATAGCCCCATTCATGTGCAGGAGCACGCCTGAACAAGAATCGGATCATTCTGCTCAAGTTCTTGTGTTCCACTTTCTGTGCTATGCAGATTTTCATCCACTGCTTATTCACTTTACTAAATTAAGCATACTCAAAGCCTTACTGACAAATGAGGCATACAACATCTCCCACAAAAAGATCTACACATTCCAAAGGTCTTGTCATTGCTTCCCTGCTGCTACAGCTAGATGTGTCCAATAAAAGGATAATTCCGGGCACCACCTTTTCTTTAAATGTTTATGGAGACCACTTACCAATTAGTATCGTGCTTTGAATGTTTTTCTACTGATCCACAGAACATCAGACACAACTCCAAGTTTAGGTTCCTGTGTAACAAATAAAGAACGTGTTCTTGTTAATGCCTAAGTGGATAACTCTTGTTCTCACATCATATCCTAGGGTTAATATTTCTTACAGTTCAAATCTTTGTCAACTCAGAGGTTACTCCCTACAGGTTCAGTGCAGCTTATTTCCTGGTAAGCAGATCTAGTGCTACAGTCCAAATCTCGCAAGAATTCTCATCAGGAAGTGTTCAAACAGCATGGGAAGAGCAGAGTCCAGAGTACTAGTGGTTTCCATGTTTTTTAAAAGGTCTAAATCTGAGTGGGCTCTTGTACAATGAACAGTTTGCACAGAAGAATACATTAAAATTGCAATCCTATACACATTTACTTACCTGGCAGCAAGTCCTATTGAGATTAATAAGGCTTCTGTGTAAACATGCACAGACTTCTACTATTAACCATATATCAGTTTTCCTACTGGCAAAACATTTTGCTGTGAAAACCCCTACTTGCTGAAATAGGCTTCTGAATGCCTGGAATTTCATTTTTTCTAAAAGTTATATAAACATATCTGGGTGGTATTTTCTCCCTTGAAGATGTTCTCTGCAAGTCTAGATATATTTTAATATTTATAGTCAAACCTTGTGCAGCCATCCTATCATACTCCATTGCCAAAACCCCTCGAGTAATAACATACCATTGCCTATTGTATTAGTATAATATACTAATTATACTTAATTAAGTATATAATAATAGAATAGTATTAAGTATATAATAATATACGTATGAGTATATAATAATGTAAATTATATGGGCTATAAGAATAGGTATTTGAATCATGGATGTTTTAAAAGTGTGAATAATGTAACAGTTTGTAGGACAATTAAAAGCAATCTTGTGTCACATAAAGCTTTTGAAATCTTCAATAGTAAAAATATGTACTAAAATGTTAAAAATAAGGCAACAAACTGCCATGGATCTCTTGGTATAATGCCACATAAAAGTTACTGGTTGAAATCACAAGCAGATTTATTTAAAAGTAATTCTCAGTGAACTCAGTGGGAGTTACTTCCAAAAAGATGTGATTAAGGATAGGATTGACGTAAGTTCAGTTCTTCAAAATAAGTTGTATTAATCCTGTTGTCTTTAGAAAAGACAAGTTAATGCTTTAAACATCATTAAGACACTTCCACAGGCGTAGTGGCAATTTTAGGAATAGTAAGTGATGCAGAAGATCTATACCCTGGAAGAAGAGCCAAAGCAAAATTAAGTATATTTATTTATTTAGAAAATATTAATTACTCAGCCGATGAATCTGTCTTGCACTTCTCTTATCATACAGTGAAATGATGTTCCTACCCTTCCTCTTCCATTATACAAACACATCACTGTGGTTTAAACAAGGCCTACCATGGACATAACCCCCATACAACACACAAACTCATCCCAAGTACAAGTACACTTTTGGAATAAGGATATACAAACTAATCTTGGACATGACACATAAAGTCTCTTTTAATTTTATTTCTTTTTTTTTCTTCATTTTATTTTTTCTAATCAGTAGGTTATAGATTTATAACACCAGGAGTGACTCAACAGCAACACTATAGTAAAATATTATTTCTACTGTTCTTAAGTACCAAGTCAGAGCCCACTTTTTTCTATGCTTCTCTCATGAGACCCTGTTTTGGGGGACAACACAGGTTGCCTATTATGCATTCCCCACCCCGTACTGCTAATTTTTATTTATTTTATTTAAAGCATTCATCACTTGTCTTCTATCCAAACTTCTATCAAGTTGCAACTCCTTCTTAGAATTTCTCCAAGTCAAACTTGTATTTTGGAAGGTAAAGGATGCATTTTGACTCTCATATACATACACAAAACTGGACACAAATTTCGAATGTGCCCACCTAGAACCACCTGTCCAGACAATCAGTATCACTAAATGTGTTGGCATGGCATCTGCTCTGTAACTGGAAGTGCAACCAGACAGGAAACATTTTTAGGAGCTGGTAACCCTCACTAACGTTCATAAGAACGTAAGAACTGCCATGCCAGACAAGACCAATGGGCTACCTAGTCCAGCATTCTGTTGGCAAAGTGTCTAACCAGCTACTCACGGGAAGCACACAAGCAGGATGAGAATATGCAGCCCCCTCCCATCCATATGCCCAGCAACTTGTACTCAGGCAACCTGTCTGCACGCTGAGGGGAAAAAATGCATCCTTTTATCCAACTTGAATATCCCACCAACAAACTTCATGGAATGATGCAGGCTTACAGTATTATGAGAGAGGAAGAAGAACCTCTCTCCCTCCACACCATACATATTTTTGTCCATCTCAGTCTTGTCTTCCCTTACTCATCTTTCCTCAAAGCTAGAGTCCCAGATACTGTATTTCTCTTCATAAGGAGTTGCTTCAGCCTCCTGATCAGCGTAATTGCCTTGCTCTGCATTTTTCCAATGCTAAAGTATTCTTTAAAGAGCAGTGACCACACTATATGCAATAATCTAATTGCTACTATGCCATAGATTTGCATATGGCAAGTATAATAATTGTAGGGTTTTTTCAAATTCCTAATTGTGCCTAACATGGAATTTGCCTTTTTCAGAGGGATTTTTCAGAGCAGCTACATGCTGAGCTGACAGTTTCATTGAGCTGTCCAATGCAACCTATTCAGCAAACTTGGCCATCTCACTTCTGATTCCATATTACTTATGAATAAATTAAAAAGCATTAGTCCCAATATACTGAGAAAACCCACGGTATGCATCCTTCCACTGGATACATCTTTCCATCCATTCCTAGCACTGTTTTCTTTTCTGCAATAATTTTCTTGGCACTGCTTATTAACCATGCTGGTCACCTCTAGGACCTGATGCTACCATTCCTAACCAGTACTATACATTCTAGTTGAGCTCGTGTTTTGAATACCCTCCAAGCATTTTGAAGGGATTTAACCCTCTTGATTCCCCTTTTCACCTCACTTCAGTTCCCTCTTAGTGCAGTTTAGAAGTCAAATGTGAATGCATTGCAGTTCCTTGGTAACTTTCCACTTAAATATCAATTAAATCTAATCGCAACATGATTACTGTTTCCAGTTCACTTAACAACAGTTACTTCCTGAACTAGGTACTAGGTGACACCACTACAGTTGAGGCCAGGGTTATCTCCCTGCTTTGTTCTGGAACACCCTAGTTTTGTCATGACTTTAACATGCATGTAAGCATTTAAGGTAATTGAAGTTACTCGCTGTCACAACACTTCCTTCTTTAGATGCTCTCTAGATTTCATTTTCAATCTCAGTATCATCCTGAGTTCTGGTCTATGATGGAAGGGTGGAGAAAAGCAATAGTAAGTACATACTACGACTTATTTTTTAAAGCCTGATATTGTTACAAAAAGAAGCCTACCTCTTTTGGTCATGTTTGGCATTATGTTCTCATTAACATACAGAACAACATCTCCTAAAGTACATCATCGTACCAAGTTTATATTCAGAAATGATAATATCCTATTCTTCATTCAACCAGGTGTTCTTTATCTAGGCTTTCCTTCAAAATTGGAACTCAACACCACCACTGTGTTGCAGAAGGTTCTAGATAGCACAGAAACACCCCTAAGTGAAGTTTCTTCCCAAATGTCTCTAACGCATTCAACTTCTGCTATAGGACCTATTTTATTATTTATATATTAGATTTCATCCCGTCCCATAGCCAGGCATGGCTTAGACATCTTTGACTGGTAATCATGTTTTATAATATGATCATTGGCTATTTCTTCTCCATCTCTATTGGAATTGGAAACTTTGAAACTTTTTTATCTTTATCCTCAAGAATGATTCAACCTGAACCAGGTACTTCCCAGCTCTTGTTGGCTTTCCCCCAGGGTTAAGTTTAAAAGCCTCTCTGCCACTTTTTTATGTTAAGTGCCAGCAGGCTGGTTTCATTCTGGTTCAAGTGGCCCAACTTGTCCCAAAATGTTCCTCAGTACCTAACAAATCTGAACTCCTTCCTCTCTACACCACCATCTCATGTACACATTGAGACTCCTCAGTTTCACCTGTCTGTGCATGGAACACATGGTGTTTCAAAGAAAGCCATCTTGGTAGTTATGGGTTTCAACCTCCCAGCTAAGAACCTAGATTTGGCTTCCAGGATTACATTTCTCCTCCTGACAGTCCTCAGGCTGATGCACATTCTGTAATTATCCTGAGAATTTAGATGGCAAGGAAAATGTACAAGTACAACCCCCACACACAACTTTTTCTAGGAAAAAGTTGTGACAGCTAGCTGTAAAAACTCCAGGTTCCTTTAAAAATGTTTTTGATAGGGCATTAAAAAAACTAAGGCAAACAGAGTCGTATGTCCCAGTCAGAAATCACCCGTAATCCTGTCAAGCCAGCACTGACAATCTCTGGAAAAATGGCAAAGGCAAAGCTGCAATGAGCCAAAAACAGCTCACCATTGCAGCAGAGTCCATCCAGCAAGTGTCAGTCAGGATGGCACTAGTAAGGGCTTGGAAAGACTTGGCACCAATAGCAAGGAGGCTCTTGCCAGGTGATTCCCAGTACCTGTGATGCAATCAGTTCCTGAGTTTGGACTGCATAACAAACCATTATGGACACAGAAACCCCAGGCTACTCCTATAGGTTATCAAGGTTGCTTGTTCCCTCCAAACACACCAGCTGGTGAGAACTGGGCTGGATTTGCAAGGCACAACAAACCATCATGAGTAGCAACTTACAACTGATTGTTGTGTCATATGAACCCAGTCAATGACCTTCATGATTTTAGTTGATATTCAGCTGAAGTCCTGTTTTTGCACTTTCTTTTTTCACTTTCATAAGAAGTCATTTCAATTCATTTCTGCTTTCTGCCAGTAGTATAGTATTATCTTCCTATCTTAATGATGTGTCTTCTGCCAATTTTCGGCCTTCCTCTGACCTTGATACAACTTCCCTTATGGTATTTCTGTGTACAGATTGTACAGGTAGGGAGATAAAATACACCTTTGTCTGATGGCTTTGCCTATGGGAAACCATTCTATTTCTCCATATTCTGTCCTAATTGTAGCTTCTTGTCCACAATACAGGTCACACATCAGAACAATCGAGTGCTGAGGCAAACACATTTCTTTCAGAGCCATCTGTAGCTTCTTGTGATCTACACAGTCAACGGCTTTGCTGTACTTTATATAGCATAGACTGAACTTCTGAAATTTGTTGGTGTGCTCCAGTAGCCAATGTACATTTGCAATATGATCTCGACTGATCTCACCTCCTTTTTGGAATCTAGCTTGAGCTTCAGGCATTTCTTGCTCCATGTAAGGTAATAACTTTTGTGGCAACATCTTGAACATCACTTTGCTCGCATGAGAAATTATTGCAATGGTCCTGTGGTTGCTGCACTCTTTTGCATCTCCTTTCTTGGGGATTGGAATGGATATTGAATGTTTCCAGTATATGGGCCATTGTTTCGTTTTCATATTTGTTAGCATTTTCTTGTTAGGATTTGAACCAATTCAGCCTCTGCTGCTTGGAATAATTCTATTGGTATCCTATTTATTCCAAGTGCTTTGTTCCTACCAAGTGCTTTTAGAGCAGCTTCCACTTCACTTTCTAAACTTGCAGGCTCTTCCTCATAGGATTCTTGTTTGGAGGAGTCTGTCATTCTTTCACTCTTCTGCATATCATTTCCATGTTTTATTTTACATTGGTCAAATAGTATATTCCTCTGTTGGTCTTTCAGCATTCCTAATCTAGCTTGGTACTACCCTTTGATTTCTTGGATCTCTTGTTTCCCCCCTTTTGTGGTTCTCTTCTATTTCATTGCACTGGTCATTGTAATCATTCTTTTTGTCTCTATGTGATAGTTGCTGGAAAATTGCATTCAAGATTCTGACCCCATTTCTGTCCCCTTTTGCTTTTGCTTCTTATCCGTACTTTGCAACTGTATTTCTTATACCATCCAGATCCAGATCCAAGCAATGGCCAGTATCCAATACTGCCTGCCCAATTTTGTTGATTGTATTGTAACAGTGGGATCCACTGCTGATGCAACAAACAGGGAGCTTTTGCTCTCTAGAGCAACTGTGGACATGAACCCAAATTCTCATTTGCAGAATGACTTAAGTCATCAAATTCCTTAAAAGTGACTTAAACTCCAATGACCTGTCCTGTTCCACAAATGAGTGTTTCAGCACATTTCCAGTTGCCTTAGGAAGTACTATCTTCCTGTGGCACCAGCAAAGGGTCCTGCTGGCATACAAGCAGCACTGGATACTGCCTAGTGTTTATAGTTTGTCAGAGGTTCAAGAGAGGGAGAAAATTATCCTAGAACACAAGCCTGAGAGCACCAAAAATATTGGTTCAAGGATACTGAATAACCAAGGTTGCATCCATTCAACCTTTCAATCTTGAGCTTCAGGGTAGTAGTTTACAATATCAAATAGGAAGGCTATTAGCAGAATTCTCAATGGATAAGCTAGGAACTTGGCCAAAGGCTTTTAAGTTAGGATAAGCAACCGCTCTGAATATGAAGGAGTAAGTATAACATCTATTTAAACTTTTACTATCCTGGATTCTATCCCCTGTGGATGAACTGGAGTGATTCCTTGGCTGCAGATCACATGTTGTGAGAGACAACAAGCAGTTACAGCAGTCCAGGATAGGAGGGAAGATTAAGACCCAACTCCCACTGCAAAAAGCTTTATCATCCTATCTGCTACATATAAAGAGACCATTGCCACTTGTATTCACTTACTCAGTGGGACATGACCAAGAGATTTGAATAATGAAGGAACATGTGTTGAGATTTAGCTTTTTGTTAAAAATAATACAATGATAATTTTCAAATTTACTCAGGACTGTGTAGCACCCATAGCAAAATCTGCTCATTGATTGCCCTGAAACAAATATAGCCCGAGGCGTGAAAAAATCTATTTCCACAAACATGCACAGTTGCCTCCTTATACTGGTTGCATGAGGAAAATGTACCTGTAATAAACTGTTATAGGACTATGTCTTTTCTACAAAAGGGGAAAAGGGTATTAATAGGAGAAAGCAAGCTACTAAGCAAATCTCTTTTGACGATTTACTTGAAGTTTTCAAAGGAAGTCATTAAAATATTAGATGACTGATATTTTAGTATGACTAATGACTGGTATTATATGATTATTTTAATTAAAAACTTTCTTTGAATTATACTTTAAATGCTTGAAACATTATGCTCTCAGTTTTAGTGATCATAAATCATACGATTAGATACTATGATTTGTAATTTTTTTGAGATTGTAAAAAAAATCTCATGCAGTCCAGTCAAGTAGTCTAGATAAATTCATTAACAACCATGAATGCTGACTGATATTTATGCTGAGTGATATCAATTAATTTCATGCAATTAAATAAATGATATAATACATTCTGACAATTTTCCATGTACTTAATATGGGGGCTTGGGGGAGGCTGCAACTTGTCATCAGATTTTAAACTAAGAAATATTTTTTGACAGTCACTCTTCTAGAAAAGTGCACAAGTTGCTAGCCATGTCGTATGTCTATACTTAAAATAGCATAGCCTGAACAATGGAGAAATACCCCAAAACTACTGGCTTAACAGAAACTGTTACTGCCCTCCCCCCGCCTGTTTTTAGCTTTGTTTGCTTTGCAATTTGGGCCCCATCTTGTAAAGTGATTTCCAAAAAAAGGCCCCCCCCCCCCCCGGTGAAGGTAAGAGAACGCTTCAAACAGCGTCTATCAGACCAGGTTTCTCTCTCTCCTTTCCCCAGAATAAAGATCTCAAAATGGATGTAAAGCAGGAGCTTCATCTAGCCTTCCGCCACCGTCCCTCTTTATTGGTTGCTCCTGCTTTATGGATTTCTCCTGTCAAATTTTGCCCTCCGAGCTACGAGCCCGCAATGGTGGGTGGGTGGGTGGGTCCCAGGAGCCCGACAGAAAGGCAAGTGTCGAGCAGCCCTAACCCAGATGTCTGGTTTACAGGGAAGCGGGCTGGGAGCTGCACTCCTAGGCACTGGAGACCTTAAGCCTGATGGACAGCTTACATGCATCAGAGCCCTTTGACGTAGGGTGCTTTGGATCTAGCAGAGATGGAAGGAACTCGATGGCCAGCCAGGCTAGCTCCTCCCGAAAGCGCGCGACTACACAAGTCGCCCAGCCTGCTGACGACTCCCAAGCCCACCTTTAGCCAGGGACGCCTGAAATGCTATGCAAAAACCACTTACCCGCCCCGCCTTAGTTTTGTGGGCTTCAGGGTGAAGCTAACCGAAGTAGGTGGTTTGCTCCCTTCCAACTATTTGGCGGGGGATGGGAAGAAAGAGGTGGATTAGAAATTAAACACGGACTATGGGTGGAGCTGGGACAGCCCTGTGAACACAAACAGCTTGCCGGATACTTTTATCAGAATGGGGAATATCTCTACAGGAAAACAAACAGCAGCCGTCCCCGGCTAAGTCGCGCAGATCGCTCTTCACCCCCTGGCGGCCCAGAAGTGTCTTACAGCTTGGTTTTTGGGCAGCGCCCTCCCCGCCCAAGTCCCTTTCTCCTCCGTTTCACTCACATTGCTTGGTAAGAGAGCCTGCCTCCCAAGAAGATGCATGCTGCGGAGATTGGCGGACCCCACGCAGCCCTCCGGATCTGCTTTGCCAATCAGCCACATTCCCAAAAGAGCACCGGCGGCAGCCCCTCCCGTAGCGCCTGGCTTAAGAAAAAGAGAAGGGATTTGGAGGACAGGGCGTCCTTCTGCCTAGGCTACTCACTCTTCTCCTGGAGGCTGTGGCTGCAGCTCCAACCCCCGCTTGCCTGGATACAGAAGAACGCATCTTTTTACAGAATATGGTGGGCCCAAGAGCGGGATCACTTAAATGCCCCAGAATTTAATATATCCATTGACAAGTCAGTTCAGGAGTTGAAACCGCCGGCTGTTTAGCAAATTTCAGCCACCTCCGTACAATTCATTTGCTCCCCGTTGCACTTAACCTGCACGATTAACCATCCAATCTCCAAAGCAATCCATGCACATAGCGCGGACAGCGACACCCGAAGGACGAGCGAAGCTACTTTGCCTAGCAAACAGAGATTCAATGAAGTTCCTAAGAAAAGATCCCAGCAGCAGAAAAAAGGCAAAAGGCGGCCAAATAAAAGGAAAAAAGCAAATAAAATTGGGTAAACTGCTAGTAACAAAGATTCCTTTTGTGCGTGTGTGTTGAATGGGCAGTGTACAACCTTTCATTTGTAGTTGGTGGCAATCTGGTTAAAAAATCCTTCACAATCTGGTTACATTATATTGTTTATATGAATTGCAAATAACCACCTTTCCAGTTTTGTTTACTGATGCTCAGTACTGATGTGAAGCTTGATTTTATTTACAGGGAAGGTACATAGAAGTGTCAGATTAAACTAAATTCTGAGTGCACTATTATCAGCCATCTCACAGTACTTTGTACCCAAAAGATTCAACAGTTGTCCTCCAAACCTCCTTTGTGAGGTATGTAATATGATTCTTGAAGGGCACAATCCTACACGTTTAGTCCTCCATGTCCTACCCAGTCCTCTCGCGAATACTGGAAGTTGTAAAACCTTTTTCCTGTCTGAACATGCATAGGATTGTAACCTAAAGGACCAACAAGCACAAATCCTTGCAAAGATGGCTGAGATAATCACGGCAAGCACTTTCAGATTCAAGTAATGTCCAAAGTGCAGGCCTGACGACTGCAGCCTTGTCAAGCAGTCCTGGACTCTTGCAGCAAGGAAGGCAGCGCTGGCTTCACCTCCTTGCCAGCCTTCTTACCATCTTGTTAGATGCTCTCTACTGGCTGGCATTGTAGTTGGGTGGACTGAGGCTCTGGTGAGATGCTCTGGAGGCCCCAGTCCTGCAGAAAGGAAACCTCCACCAAGGCCTGCCTGTCTGTGGATTTCCAACAGCTCCAACCTAGTGTAGAGACACAACAGGAGCATATCTGCTGGCCTGTGGCAGGATAGCAACAACCTTGAAGGGGATTACCCCTCTGGAATAGTCACTTTGGAGGGTCATAAGGAGAAGGGCCTCCCCTCTAGCATTGTTGTTTCTCTTTTGTGTCAGGTTTCCTCTTTGGGTTTCCTCCTGTTTACAGGCCCTGTGCATGTACAGTGGAGGGAGAGGATGGGGCCAAGTGGTGGCCCCTGATGGGGAGTTAGTGTAGTGACAGTGGAGAGAGAGATGGCATTAAGTTGGAGGGCTAGCCAGGCCCAGTCAGTTAACAACTGTGCCGCCATGTTCTAGCCCTGCTCCCAACCACAAGTTTGGTGGTTGTCCTATCAGCCTGCCCTTGGGTCTCTGGATGCTGCTTTTAAATGCCAGATCAATGCATACTAAGACCTCCCTCATCCATGGCTTAAAAGGAGATGAGGTGGCCAATCTGGCATGGAAAACTGAGACCTGGGTTTTCAGTTTAGACTCAGAATAGGGGAGAGTTAGACTCACTCAGCTCTGTTCACTGGGGTACTGGGAACAGCTTCAGGAAACACTGGAGGGCTGAGGTCTTTGAGAATTCTCTCTCTCTTTCTCTGCTCCACACTCCAGTCTCCCTCTCTGTCTGACTCCTGAAGGGTTTACATTTTGCGCTGGGCCAGCCACCGTGCAAAACCAGCCGTCTTCCTACCTAAGCCGAGAGAGGTTAATTCAGCTGCAATGTTGAGGACACCTTAACTGGGGTAGCTCAGGATTTCATGGTCTCCATGACAACCATGGGACTGTTTCAACATGTCATTGGCCCAGTACATGTAACAAGGCTCACACTAGATCTATTTTTTCAGCTGAGTATGGGAATAATAAACTGAAGGTAGAAGACTTCAAACGGTCTCTTTGTTATGGTCAGATCACCGCTTGCTGAGATTTAGACTAATGTTAATTTTTCTCTCTGCAGGGGTGGGGGAACCATTAAGACGGTCCTCCCCCAGAAGCAGATAGATCCAAACAGCTTACAGAGGACTCTAGAGGACTTTCTGCATGCTATGGCTTGTGGTCCTGGCAAATCCCTGAACAGTCCTCCATAATGTAGTTTGTACAGCTTCATGGAAAGTCTTGGAGCTGAAACAAATTAGAGGATGGCTGCAGTGCAGATGGAAAACTTCTAGTGAATACTATTGAGCCCTGGTATGTACCGATAGTCAAATACATTTGGAGGCAGCAAGAACAGCAAATAAACAATTATTAACTGCTTCCATTCAATGTTCTCTTTGCTATCTAGCGAAACTCTCTAAAGTTGTCTGGAACTTACTACATGCTGGCCCCAAGGACAACTTGCAGCCATCTGAGAGCCATAGTAATATATTTGCCAGGCAGTTCCAGGACAAAATGTCTTGCATCTGCTGGGACTTGGAATCCAATTTTATAGCAATGGAATCAGGTGAAATATCCAGAGCACAGCCTGGTTGATTTTTTTGGGAGGGGGGAGAGTTCCAGCTAGTACAACTTGAGAATGTTAACAAGGTGCTTGAACAGGTTTGTGCACCCACATCTGAGGGGATCCTTGCCCCTCTTGACTAATAAAAGCTAGCAGGGAGGGAACTGCTAGCTGGGCCAGGGAAATGAATAATGCTTCTTTATGAGAAGGGGTGATTCCTGGTGACCTGAAATACTCATAGGTTGTAGTGAGACTACTTCTGAAGAAACCTTTGCGAGACTGAGAAAATCTCAATAAGCTTAGGCCAGTGGCAAGCAAAGCATCCCCTTCCTGGGCAAGGTTTTTGAGAAAGTGGTGGCCAAGCAGTTCCAGGCACTTTTGGGTGAGAGTGATTATGTGGATCCATTTCAATTGTGGTTCAGGCCTGGTTTTGGCATGGAAACTACGTTGGTCAACATGTTTGTTGACCTAATGGTAGAAAAGAGATCCTGTTGGTACTCCTGGACCTCTTGATGGCTTTTGATACCATCAACTCTTGTACCATTCTGGGATGACTGAGTTAGTAAGGAGCACTGAATTGCAATGCTTCTGCATCTACTTGGATAGCTGGCTCCAGATGGTGCTTGGGGAACACTGCTCTGTCCCCTGGACTCTCCAGTATGGGGTTTCTCAAGGTTGTTCCTTGTTCCCAGTGCTATTTGACATCTACATGAAACCACTGAATGGAGTCATCCAGAGTTTTGGAGTGCGTTGTCATCAGTATGGGGACGACACACAGCTCTATTTCTCCTTTTCATTTTCAGCAAGTGGGGCTGTGGATGTGTTAAACGGGTGCCTGGTTGCAATTATGGCCTGGGTGGGGGCTAACAAACTGTAACTCAACGTAGACAAGACTGTGATGCTATTAGATGGTGGTTCCTCTGCCCAGATGGAGGCAATTCAACTAGTTCTAGATGGGATCACACTCCCCATGAAGGAGTAGGTGTGTAACCTGGAGGTGCTCCTTGAGCCATCTATGTCACTTGAGGCCCAAGTAGATTCAATGGCTCAGAGTGCCTTCTACCAGCCTCAGCTGGTGGCTCAGCTATGACTGTTAGGACAAAGATAGCCTGCTACCAATAATCTAACATAGATTACTGCCCCTGAAAACTGTTCAGAACCTGCAGCTTAGCCAAATGCAGCATCCAAATTGATAATAGGGACCAGATGGTCAGATCACACAACACCATTTCTTGCACGCTTGCATCCACTGCCTATATGCTTCTGAGAAAGGTGAAGGCTTTTACCTATAAAGCCCTACATGGCTTGGGACTACAACATTTGGTGGAAAAACTCCCCCTATCACAATCTATCTAGACTATGATCGTTTGCCTCTAACTGCCACTTCCAAGAGAGGATCAGTTAATGGCAACAAGTAGAAGAGCCTTTTCAGTGGTGGCCCTCCAGTTATGGAATGATCTCTCCACTGAGGTCCACCTGGTGCCAACTTTAATATCCTTTCAGCACTAGGTTAAGACTGTCCTCTTTCATATGGCATTTAATTAATTTACTGGGATTTTGTTAGCTGCTTAAACAGGTGGTCTAATTAATTCGCATAGGCTATTGCAATGATTTATCTATGTTTTAATTTAGTTTTAAATCTTGTATGATAACCTTTTAATGATGTTTCTAATATTATTTGTATTTTATATTGTATTTTAATGTATACTGCCCAGAGAGCGCTGGCTATTGGGCAGCATAGTAAATAAATATACCTTCCTAAGATATAGATCAAAAGGAAGGTGTATTCTGGTCTGTTGCCCACTCCTTCTGCTGTCTTCCTTTCAGGCAGTGCTTAATTGAGAGGTCCCAAGCCTGATGACTACATGGAAATTAAAGCTTCTAATTTAGTAGACCTTCTTATACTAAAGAAAGCCAGTGAAGAACCAGTGTGGTG